CTCCTTCATGGCTTTAGTCATATTCCTTCTTCTGGGGACAGAAACAAAAAGAATGGAGAATGGTCAGTCCAAGATCTTTCATGAGCACAACTCTGTTGATTGTATCCGAGGATGATTCTCTTTTAGTTGAACCATGATACACACTATTTATTCACACAGCTCCTGAATTTAGGAACCTAAATTCAGGTTTAGATTCCTAAACCTAATGGGCAGAATCCTGGACACTAGAGAAGGAATTTTTTGAAATCACTTAATAAACAAGCTCTAAAATCTTGATAGTTCAAAGACATTTTTAAACCAAACTGCCTTCCTCCTATAAGATCCAGGAGGTGGGGGAGAGCAGTGGTGGGTGAAGACTTAGTACATTTTGTGCTTTTTCCTGGGGAAGTTGCTTGCTATTTGTTAAACTGGTGGCTTAAAAACAACAATGCCAGGGTTTAGCTCCTTGAATCCTCACAGAATCCTATGAGGTAGGTGGTATTTTCATGCCGTAGTTGGGGACAGTGAGGGCGCCTGGGTGGCTCAGTTGGTTAAGCATCTGCCTTTAGCTCAGCTCAAGATCCCAGGGTCCTGGAATCGAGCCCTGCATTGGGCTCCCTGCTCAGTGGGGAGTTTGCTTCTGCCTCTCCCCCTGGCTTATGCTCTCTCTCTCTCTCTCTCTCAAATAAATAAATAAAATCTTAAAAAAAAAAATGAGTACACTGATCCTCAGGTTACAAACTTCACTCCAGGTTACACATACTGGCAGAGCTGGTATGCATCCCCGGGTCTGTGTGACTTCAAAGCTGATGTTTTTAACAATATAATGTTCTTCACTTTGTGGAGGGCGTGGGGATTAATTTAACTGTTGACCTACTTTATTTTCTCTGAGATGATTCTTTGGAGACTGATGATCTGCCAAAGTACATTGCAGATTAGGCTAGCTTTTTGCTGTTGTCTTCTCAAACATCCTCACGATGTCTAAAAATACTAAAAATACTGCATAAGAATTTGATATTCAAAGATAAAAATGTCACAAAACTGAAAAGGAAGAGAACTGAAGTGGTGATAGGGTGAAGGAGATTAAGAAAAGGAAGGGAGAGAAGTAAGGGGGATGGAAGGAGAAGTTTTCTCCTGTTTGATACCTGGACTCACTAGGCTTATTTTAAGCCCTCTGGGATTTGGCTGCTCTCATCTTCAAGGGACAAAGAATGATCTTGAAAACCTTGGCTTCCAAAAGTCTGCCGGGTGGTGGCATGGTCATTGGAGCTAAGTTTTTAGATTGTTGAGCCAAAGAAATTTTGCAACCGAGCAGGAAGCAGTTGACCCAGCTGCTTAACACAGGTTAAGATGGCACATCTGATCTTCATGATACAGGAGTTTATTATTACATGAGCAAAGCATTTTCTTCCCCTTAGACTTTAGTGCCTTTTTGAAAAGTATTCCCTTCCATCCTTTCACTTGAAAGTCTTTACAAACAGTTTTTAGCAAGGTACTCTTCAGTGAGTTAGCCAAATCTTACCTTATGGGGCTTACAGACTGGCAGACATTCAATATTTCTGAAATTTTATGAGAATAATAGCTATGAAATATTTTACGTGGTAAAGAAGTAAAGAGTAAGTGAGGAATGCTTGTAGAAATTGATAAACCTAAGAGAACGTCATAGAAGAAATGTAGTTTTTGGAGCTGCTTGTTGAAAAAGAGACCAACATGAATTTTGGCAATAAGAGTCATCTGGCTTCCAAAGGTCAGGTTAGAGGAATATGTTATATTGCATCAAATCAAATCTAGGCTAATATGTTAGCTAATCCCAGTATTTATAAAGAGAGTATCAAATGGTTTGGGAAAAATGAACAAAGATGCTTTTTGTAACCAGGGTTACCTAATTAAATTTTCATCCAAATTGAATCAGTCTTTGTTCCTGTATGCCCCTGCTTGTAGGCAGGGTTGATGTGAGGTTTATCTCTGGAGATAACTTAAGTTCCTTTAAGTTCTCTGAGTAAGATAAGTATTACTTAAGCCCCATAGATAGATAAGCTTGGAAAGAAGAGTATTTTAATAGCCTGTACAGACAATTGTGGATACTTTTCTTAACTATTATACTAAAAGTCCAGCAAGTAGGAGTTTCTTAAATATTAGTTGCAGTGCAGAATCTGAAACTATGTCAGTAGGTTTTTCTTACTTTTTGACATCAGAATTGAGTGGTCTGACTTACACTTTTTTTTTTTAAGATTTTATTTATTTATTTGACAGACAGAGATCACAAGTAGGCAGAGAGGCAGGCGGGGTGGGGGGGGGAAGCAGGCTCCCCGCTGAGCAGAGAGCCCGACACGGGGCTCCATCCTAGGACCCTGGGATCATGACCCGAGCCGAAGGCAGAGGCTTAACCCACTGAATCTTTTACCCATGCATGATTATCTAATACCATGTATTTCATTAGGACTTGGAAAATAAGGGTTCATTGTGCTATGCATATTTTCCAAATGTGAATGCATTTTCTTACATGTTTGTGAACAGTCCGCATGATCTTTTTTTTTTTTTTTTAAGATTTATTTATTCATTCTTGAGATAGAGCAAGAGTGAGTGTGCCTGTGAGTTGGGGGAGGGACAGAGGGAGAGAATCTCAAGCAGACTCCCTGCTGAGTTGCAGGAAAGTGTTAGGAAGCTGTCAAACTCGTGCGAGTGGTATGGTTTCCCAAAATTCCAAGATCTTTTGGATGGTCAAATTTTATCACTGGCAATAAATGCTAGTTATTTTCTCTGAAGTGACAGGCTCACCTTGTTCATTTTCAAGTCTTAAACCATAATTTGCACATCAGTTGTTCTTTTGAGTAAAAATAGCATTCCATGAAAAAGTGGCTTTTTCATCTCACAATAGATGCACAAGTGCTTCTTCCTTCCTTCCTTCCTTCCTTCCTTCCTTCCTTCCTCCCTTTCTTTCTAAAAGATTCTATTTTTTATTTGACAGAGAGAGACACAGGAAGAGGGGGAACACAAGTAGGGGGAGTGAGAGAGGGAGAAGCAAGCTTCCCACTGAGCAAGGCGCCCGATTCAGGGCTCGATTCAGGGTCCTGGGATCATGAACTGAGCCGAAGGCAAATGCTCAGTGACTGAGGCACCCAGATATCCCACAAGTGCTTTTTTCTTGGAGACAACCATCATGCTTTGGGATGCAGCAGAAGTGCTTTATGTGTACCTCCTATGTCACACAAATATTTAAAAGACTTATAGCCAAGGATTGAGATTTAATGAAATGAATAATATTTTACTGCTTCACCAAGGTTATTCTTTTTTTTTTTTAAAGATTTTATTTATGTATTTGAGGGAGAGAGAGAGAGAGAGAAAGTGAGAGAGACAGAGAACGAGCATGAGCAGGGGGTAGGGGCAGAGGGAGAGGGAAGCAGACTCCCACTGAGCAGGGAGCCCGAAGTGGGGCTCAATCCCAGGACCCTGTGATAATGACCTGAGCCCAAGGCAGACACTTAACCAACTGAGGGACCCAGGTGACCCCATCAAGATCATTCTTAAATGAAACTGTTTTGTTTTAAACTGTGAGTGCATGATAGGGAAGAATATACAGTGAGTACTAGTATCCTTTGATGGTACTGCCGTGATTCTTATTAAGGCACCAGTAGTTTTACGCATAATACCTTTTGTATCCTTAGTGTAAATGTCAGCACAGTGAAAAGGGCAAATAATGTCTTAATGTTGTTATAGAAAAATCATTTTGATCTGATAATAGCTTCTCAGCTGGAGTTTTAACTCCCACCACACATCGACCCAACCCCCACGGAGGGGATTTAAAAACAAGTTTGTTTTTTTTTTTTAAAAGGAGTTTCGGTGCACCTGGGTGGCTCAGTGGGTTAAAGCCTCTGCCTTCGGCTCAGGTCATGATCCCAGGGTCCTGGGATCTCTGCCTACTCGTGAACTCTGTCAAGTAAATAAATAAAATCTTTAAAAAAAAAAAAAAAAGGAGTCTAATTTGTTTCTAGGTCCTGAATTATTCCAGCTGTTTTAGAACCATCAAAGTCTTGATAATGACTGCCTTTATCAATGTGGACATTTTACCTCCTCCTTTTTGTTCTATAGATAAGTTAAGACAGCCTTTTGGTCTACAGATCTCATTGCTATTTGCTATTGGTTCTTTTAGGCTTATGGTAGGCCTAAAGTTTCTATTCAAAGAGCTCCTCTGCTTTCTCCTAATTGTTGCTGTGAGATGGGCAGCTGAGGATCCTTAACTATCCATAATGACAAGACACATGGACTTTGCCATATTGTTTGGAGCCATTCAAAAAATACATGAAAAGAAAGTACATTTCTTCACTTTGAAATGATCACCTTATCCTTCCTCACCAAAGTGGGGATTGTGCGGCAACCCTAGAATCTTAAACTATAGCTTCCTATTGAGAAAATTGCATTTGATTCTGTGTGACTGTTTTATTTTGAAATTCATAAGCAGATGAGTGGTTTCTAGCATGTCCTTTTTTATATTATGATGATGAAGCAGCTCATCTATTTATAGTACTTTGGAAATCACTTCATAATTAATCCTAATAGTACTGTAAATAAAATTAAGTATTGTTCTACCTATTTCACAGCTGAGGTTTTTTTTAAAAAATACTTATTTATTTATTAGAGAGTGCATTCATGTGCACCCATGAGTGAGAGGGAGGGAGAGAGAGAATTCCAGCAGACTCCCCACTGAGCACGGAGCCTGATGCGGGGTTTGATCCCATGACCCCAAGACTATGACCTGAGCCAAAACCAAGAGTTGGGCACTCAACCAGCCGAGCCACCCAGGCATCCCTACAGCTGAGATATTGAGGCACCCAGACAATTCAGGGGTTTGTATAAAATCACAAAGCTTAGAAGTCATCCTCTGGACACTTCTGTCAGCATGCAAGAAATAGAAATTAATATGCTATTACAGCTGCCATATTGTCAATACCCAGAGTGGTGTCTGGCACATAGTAGAACTCAGTAAGTACTTGTTGAGTCAATGAATGGACTTTTCTTTTCAGGCCTGTATTGATGAAAATTTGGACATGGTGAAGTTTCTGGTGGAGAACAGGGCCAATGTAAACCAGCAGGACAACGAGGGCTGGACACCTCTTCATGCAGCAGCTTCCTGTGGCTATCTCAACATAGCAGAGTGAGTCTCTGTTTGGGTTTGGATTATTTGTAGGAATAGCCTTCATTTCTCTTCTGCTCTTAAAAACTTGAATTCATAGTTATACTTTATATTACAAATTATAAAAGTGGGAGGTTGAATAATTTTTAAGAAATAATTGATACTGTGTTTCTATATACCTGTTAAATCCACAATTTGGTGTCTTTTTTTTTTTTTAAGATTTATTTATTTATTTTAGAGAGAGAGAAAGAAAGTGCAAATCAGGGGAGGGACAGAGGGAGAGAATCTTCAGGTTGACTCCCCGCTGAGCGCAGAGCCCAACATGGGGCTCCATCTCATGACCCATGAGATCATGACCGGAACCAAAACCAGGAGTCATCTGCTTAACCAACTGACCAACCAAGTGCCCCAAATCCACAGTTTTGTGGTTGAAATTTTTTGTTTGTTTCTATTCTCTGGTAATTCATATTTGCTGAGCTATTAGGAGGTGGCTTCTGTTGAACTCTCTGGGTCACAAATATGTGGGCAGGCCTAGAGATTTTTTCTGGACTTCTTTGTAAACTTGTTTTATTGTTTAAGAAAAAAAAAATCAGTGCTCAGTACAAATGAAGGTGGAGAATTCCTGCATACTGATCACAATACCCATACAGTTAATAGCAGAAGAATGAGCCTAAACATGGAACAAAGGAAGGGTAGGGTTTGGCATGTGTTCTCCACATTAGTGGAATGGGTATGTTTATTAAGACACATAGGTAGCTCCTGACCTCCATGACAACCAGTTGTCCCTGTTTTGGGCAGAAGAATCCTGGCCACATCATGTCTGGTATACAAGGGGTACTAAATAAATGTTGAATGAAGGAATGAAGGTTATTGTTATTTTTATATTACATATTTATTTTAAAAATTTAATTAATTTATTTTTTAAAGATTTCACTTACTTTGAGAGAGAGAATACACATGCAAGTAGGAGGAGGGACAGAGGCAGAGGCAAAGGGAGAGAGAGAATCTCAAGCAGGTTCCATGCTGAGCATGGAGCCCAACGTGGGGCTCAGTCTCACTACGCTGAGATCAGGACCTGAGCCGAAATCAGGTGCTGGCCACTTAACCAAGTGACCCACTCAGACACCTCTGTTTATTTCTTTTTACATAATCTCTATGTTCAGATGGGGTTTAAACTCACAACCCAAAGATCAAGAGTCATAGGCTCCACCAACTGAGCTAGCCAAGCACCCTTGAAGGTTTTTTTTTTTTTTTTTTTTTTTTTTTTTTTAAGATTTATTTATTCATTCTTGAGATAGAGAGAGCAAGAGTGAGTGTGCCTGTGAGTTGGGGGAGGGACAGAGGGAGAGAATCTCAAGCAGACTCCCTGCTGAGTTGCAGTACCTTTTGGGGTAGGGGGGAGGCTTGATCTCGTGACCCTGAGATCATGCCCTGAGCAAAAACTAATAGTCAGACACTGAACCAGCTGAGCCACTCAGGCACCTCTGAAGGTTTTTGTTTTTTTTTTAAATAGGAAAGAGGCTGGGGCACCTAGGTGGCTCAGTGGGTTAAAGTCTCTGCCTTTGGCTCAGGTCATGATCCCAGGGTCCTGGGATCGAGCCCTGCATCAGGCTCTCTGCTCCCCAGGAAGCCTGCTTCCTCCTCTCTCTCTCTGCCTGCCTCTCTGCCTACTTGTGATCTCTGTCTGTCAAATAAATAAATAAAATCTTTAAAAAAATAAATATAAATAAATCGGAAAGAGGCTTAGCAGTTAAAACATCTTTAAAATGAGACAGTTGAGTATATTCTAGATAAGAGTAGATTTAGGTTGATAAGGTAAATTCACTAAATAAAATCATGATATTCTGTGATCCTTTGCAAATCAGATGCTTGTTTTAAGGCACTTTTCCATATAATTAGAGCTCTATTATATTTCTCTTACCCAGCAAACAGCAGGGAGGATTCTGTTGGCAGCTCTGTGGAGGCCTGGAAATGGCTTCCCACACAATCTCATTTGCCCAGGTTTCCTGGGGGAGAGCCTGTGTCTCAGTTTTGCTTTTGAGCTGGGGACGCTCGGTGGGAGAAGTTAAACAATGGGAGAGTCAGAGCCAGAGAAACACTAGGCAGTGGTCTGGTGTTTGGGCTGCTTGTTCTAAAAAGTGGACAACGGAACTGGTCCCAAAGCCAACAGAAACGAACAATGCCGTTTTCTTTAGTCTCAGTTCTTCTCCCTGTTCTAATTTAGTAAAAAATCAGTCATCTCTTCATCCCTTAGGCTGCCCTCTTTTCAGAGTCTCAGGAAAGGCTCTGATTCTTACTCCGCCTTACCACTAATGCCGGCATTCTGATGTCTAAGAGTTATGGTGGCTTCCTCATAGATTTTGTTTTTTACTTTAAAAAATTTATTTAAGAAACAGTTATAGAACATTCTAGCACCTCATTTTTTATATTTTATTATTTGTTCAGGTAGCTTGTTGGTGATTTTTAAGTTACCGAATCTCATTACATTCAAGAATTCCACTTTTTTTCTCTTGGAAGGTAACAAGCAGAGCTCATGCTTGGAATTAGGATCACTTGTCTCTTTCTTTCACTTCTTTTTGTGAAGCTGAGTACAGAGAATGATTGTAAATGCTTTTTTACAGTGATTTCTTTAATTCATCTCTTTGGATGAACACGATTCCTTTAGAAATAAGTTCAAAATTTAACAGTCTCCTGCCCAAATAAATATTACCTTGAGTGAAAGGAATCGGTTAGAGTTACTATTTCTTCATATACATTATTACTCATTAGACATATCAAAGTCTGATCAGGAGAGTGATGATCTAGACTAGACTGTATTGTATAGATGGGGTGATGGTTAGGGATGGCCTTCTTTAATTTATCTTTCGTTATGCATATCATCATTAGACAGGTTTTGACCTTGTCATTATTTATTTATTTATGATTGTTTTCTGTACAATGGAAAAGAACACCACTGTTTATGTAATTCATTTTGGTTGCTTTACCTTAGGTCCTATGAACGGTGTTTTAGATAAGATTAGCCCTTGGTCATTTTTTCTTTCTTCCCTTTTTTTTTTTTTAAATCTTAAAGATCTTAAGTTTTACACCCTTATGCTCTGAATCATAGGAATTCTAAATTTCAAGGGAGTGGAAACAAACAAAAAGCAAACTAGCTTTCTAGGAAGAATCTAAGGGGCACCTGGGTGGCTCAGTTGGTTAAGCCTTTGCCTTTGCCTCAGATCATGATCCTGGGGTCCTGGGATTGAGCCCTGTGTCAGGCTTACTGCTCAGCAGGGAGTCTGTTTAATCCCTCTCCCTCTGGCTCCCTCGACCCTGCTCATGCTCTCTCTCACTCTCACTCTCTCTCAAATAAATAAGTAAAATCTTAAAAAAAAAAAAAGAAAGAAATGCATTCTATTTCATGTTCCATGACCTTTTTGTCTCTTATTTGAACTCAGTATGGTATATTTTTAAAAAGAGGTTTAGAGGCTGTTATTTTTCTCATTTTAATTTGAGTTCAGGCTTATTGTTAGTTAGCTGGATGTTTTATATTTTTATTACCAGTAAGTGTTTAACTTAGAAGCAACAGATAGAGCCAAGGGTACAGCATTTAGTTTGACTTTATAGTTTATTGGGATGCTAATTTATTCTGAGTTTTTAAATACATTAAATTTTCTTTCTTCCTCTTTTAGATAGTAGTAAAAATATCTTATATCAGTCATGAGTTAGGAAGACACTAGAAGGGCTTTATTTTCTAAGGGTGTATTTATTGAGCTAATGGTTATTTCTGAGCCTCTGGATAACTATAAAGATTCTCAGGGGTAAAGTAAATATTATTTTATAGATTGGCATTTATTCTTTCTCAGGTAAAAGTGGGAAACTAAACAGGTTTTTACTTCTTTTTTTCCTAAAAATGGTCTAGAAAGGTAGCTTTGATTAACCATAATCTCGGATTCATGGTGAGCCAGATTGCTTTCTAGAAATGAGTCTTCTTGATCATGAGCGTAAGAGCATGTCAGAAAAGGGGAAAAACAGGGGCCGTTATGCCGTGCCTGATCTAGTAAGGAATGGAGTAATTGTCAGAGCAGAGTGGTTAAGATGTTTCATTTATTTCAGGTAATGTTTATGTAGTGCCGAGATAGTAGAGATGCTATCAGAATGTCATAGCAATGATAATAGTAAGGAAAATACAGTTCTTGCCCTCAACTAGCTTTCAGCCTAATTGGACAGTTGCATCAATAGTGTCTTGGCAGAGGTCCAGAATTGGTGATGGGGAGGACTGTGGGGGGAGGGTGGAGTTAAAGGAAGCAGACAGAAAATTCAGTTGGTGAGAACAAGCAGAGGCTGCATGAAGGCAAAAACATTTCAAATGGACATTGAAATACGAAATTTCTAGAAGGAAAAGGATAAGGGAAGGTGTTTCATCCAGTTGGAGGAAACTGAGCTGTCGAAGAGAGCTGAGTGAGAGTGGGATGTTTGGGGGAACATCAAGTAGATCAGTTTGATTAGAGTGTAGAGTATAGCTCAATCCAAAAAGCATTTTTTTTTTAAAGATTTTATTTATTTGACAGAGAGAGACACAGCGAGAGAGGGAACACAAGCAGGGAGAGCGGGAGAGGGAGAAGCAGGCTTTCGCTGAGCAGGGAGCCTGATGCAGGGCTTGATCCCAAGACCCTAGGATCATGACCTCAGCCAAAGGCAGACACTTAACAACTGAGCCACCCAGGCGCCCCATCCCAAAAAGCATTTACTGAGTGCTTACTCTGTAGATTATTTCCATTTTGATTTTTCAGGGTCGGGGAGGTGTAATTAAATGTTTCTTTGGCCTGAAGTTGAGGAACCAGAAGAGAGAAGCTATTGAATATGTGGAAGTGAAGGAGTAATTGATGAACAGAGGACTGGTACTTGATAGAATTAAGAAAGCAGATACAGGGAATTAACCTTTGAATTGAAAAAAGTCTCATCCTCTGAGACTGTGAGGGAAGGACAGGGAAAGCTGAAAATTAGATGAATTGTGAGTGCTTTTGCACTTTATATATGCGCAGTTAATCCAGAAATTCACATTTATTGAGGCTCCGTTACACCAGGTACTGGGCACTGAGAAAGCAAAAACACGATTTCAATATAGTCTTTGTTGATTCTATTTTGCCAGGTCTTTGAATATAGTGACAATCTTGATTATCTTTTGAAAATCTATGATATCTGAAATGTAGTGCCTTAAACATAGTAGGGGACCAATAAATGCTCACTGCTTTGTTGAAACTGATTTAAATAGTATTTCTTTCCCCCCTTTAAATACTCTGAGTATTTGGTAGAGTTCCCAGCATTACTGGGATTCTCACTGGCCCAAAAGCAACTTGATCTAGTGAACAGATGAACTAGACCTGAAGATGGGAGGCTGGGGCCACTACCTTTGTCATTTGCCACTTCCATAATTTCAGGAAAATAACATGTATGAGCCTCAATTTCTTGTGCTGATGGTACTCCCCATATTGTCTACTTCTTAAAATTGCCTGACACATTATGTAATTTTATGTGAAAGCACTTTGAAAATCAAAAAGGATCCATTTAGGATATTAAAATGATCAGACCTTTCTTCTTCAGGATTGACTATTGTATTTCAATATAGAATCTAATTGTTTAGAATTTAACTACTTCTTTCTTTATTTTTTTAAGATTTTATTTATTTATTTGACAGAGAGAGAGAGAGATCACAAGTAGGTAGGGAGGCAGGCAGAGAATGGAGGAAGCAGGCTCTCCGCAGAGCAGAGAGCCCGATGCGGGGCTCAATCCCAGGACCCCGGGATCATGACCTGAGCTGAAGGCAGAGGCTTTAACCCACTGAGCCACCCAGGCACCCCTAACTATTTATTTCTTAAGTAATTTAGTTTCCTCTTAGAGTGTAGAAGGTTTCATGTAGATGGCTGGTTGAAGGGAAAGTTTTGTAGAGGCATAATTTAGGCAGATTCATGCACATTTTATTTCATTACTTTTCTGTTTTCATACCCAGCACTACTTAATATACTCTAATGTGGCATTGAGAAAGTTTTTGTGAGAATTACTTCCTTATATATCTTCTAAGGGCTCTTACTGCCAATATTCAAGTGTATAAATCCTTTTGGGAATCTGTCTTTGGACCTCAGAGATGGTGGGTGAGTTTTTATGGCTGCATGTCTTCCTTAAGGTATTTAGAAAATCTCTTGCTATCCAACAGGAGTGAGAGGGCGGAAATTAGGAATATGAGTGTGAAAGAAATCTTGCTTGTTGGTATTGCTCATCATGAAATAGAGAAGCTTCTAGTCCTAACTATTGAAGGCTAATGGAGTTAGAAAATAACAATGGAACATGTTATCTGGGACCATATTTAAGACCCCAAAACAGTGGCCTTGCTCTGCATAGAAGACGATATGCACAAGTATAAATCAATATTAGACTGACCGAGATAATGTAGATCCTGGATCTTGTCTACGCAGGTATTTCATTAACCATGGAGCCAGCGTGGGTATTGTGAATAGTGAAGGTGAAGTCCCCTCGGACCTTGCCGAAGAGCCTGCCATGAAGGATCTTCTTCTGGAGCAAGTGAAGAAGCAAGGTAACCTAAGTGATTCCAGGGGGCCAGGAGAGACTCTCAAACATTGCTACTTAGAAAATAATCCATTTGCTGTGTAGAGTTTTTCATTATCATATTATGAGAGGATTAGATCTGTCTCCACAGCATGGGGTATCTTGACTATCAATCACCAAAATCATGTGTCCTCTTAATAACTCATGCAAGAATAGGCCAGATGTCAAAAGATGACTGGTGATTCCTTGTTTTTGCCATACCCAACGGTGTATACGCATTGAATAGTTGGGAGTGACCTGAGTATTCTTTGATAATATAAATCAGACTGATGAGGAGCATGAAGTTTATCACTGTGTGGACATGATACTGGATTTTGCTACACATTGTGAAGTCTAAAGAAAGGATGATATATAGTGTAAATTGGAGTATTGGTCAAATTCTTTTGACTTTGTATCTTTTCTCTTGATGAGAACTAAAAGTGGTGCTGATAAAAGTATTATAACCTCTGAAATGATCCTTAACCATACTGACCATGACAATTATTCTGTAGTTTGTTATTTAGAAGAATAAATCTATAAATACTTATTTTAATTTTCAGAAGAATCCATATCAGAGAGTAAGTCAGGATTTTCCTGAAGTCTCTGGGTTCTTTTAATTGCAAATGGTCAGATGGCAAGGAGGACGGGTTTTTGGAAGTTAGCTAGAACCATCAAAAAACTTTGTGGACATGTTTTGTGGTGATGTTTATTTAGTCTTTCTGTTAAGCTAGTTTACCCACAGTCTGCACTTTATTCCAGAAAATTAAGCTCCAGTGGCCTTTCCTGATACGAACCTTTAGAATAGGCAGGGCAAGGCTGGCTACATGCATTTGTTCACATATTAGCAAAAGCTGCGTTTGCACTACCACAGCAGAGTTGAACAGACAGAACGGCCCACAAAGCGGAGAATATTTAATATCTGGCTTTTTATGGAAAGTGTGCCGGTGCCTTAAAATAATGATGTTCTAGTGTAGTAAATACTTGTTTTTACTGCCTTCCTGTGTATAATTTTTGTGCCCTTTGAATTAAAGAACTTTATACTTAGTTTACCATTTAGTCCCACTCGGCCTTATGCTAAGATCCGACATCACAATTTACAAAGACTTTTTTTTTTTAAACAAACAGTTTTTTAAGATAGCTTTGATTTAGAAAACGAACTTTTCTTGTGTTAAAAAAAATTATTTATTTGAGGGAGAGAAGGGGGAGGGCAGAGGGAGAGAATCTCAAGTAGATTCCCCACTAAGTGCAGAGCCCCAGTGGGACTTGCTCTCACCACCCATGAGATCAGGACCTGAGCCTAAATCACCAGCCAGACAACTGACTGAGCCACTCAGGTGTTCCAAGAAACCAACTTTTCTATTTTGATTTCTGACTCTTCAGTTAAGGAATATGCTATGTTGGAAGAGGTGTTCAAATGTATGCTTAACTTTGTAGCACTATTCTCTGTGTGGAACTCTGGTATATTCTAAATCAGATACCTCTTTCAATTCATCAAGATATAAGTCATAAATAATATGTACCCAACTTTTGAACACCTAAATATATTAAACAAATACTGACAGATCTGAAGGGAAAAATAGATGATAATACAGTAATAGAAGGGGACTTCAGTACACCACCTGCAAAATGGATAGGTCATCTGAACAGAAAACCAACAAGGAAACATTGGACTTGAGCTATACTCTAGACCCTATGGACCTAATAGATATATACAGAATATTCCATCAATAACAAGAGGAAAACTGGGAAATTCACAAATATGTGGATATTAAACAACCTGCTACTAAACACCCTGTGGGTCAAAGAATAAATCAAAAGAAGAATTTAAAAATATCTTGAAACACACAAAAATGGAAACACAGCATGCTAAAACTTATGGAATGCAGCAAAAGTAGTTCTTAGAAGAAAGTTTATAGTGACATGCTTCCATTAAGAAAAAAGAAGTATCTCAAATAAACAACTCATCTTTACATTCCAGAGGAATAGAAAAAGGAACAAACTAAGCCCAAAATTAACAGAAGGAAGGAAATAACAAAGATCAGAGCAGAAATAAATGAAACAGAGACCAGGACAAAAAAAGAAAAAAGATCAATGAAACTGAGCTGTTTTTTTGAAAAAATAAATAAAATTGACAAACCTTCAGTTAGACTAAGAAGAAAAGAGAAGACTAAAATAAAACCAAATGAAAGGAGAGGCATTACAACTGATATCACAGAAATACAAAGCATGGTAAGAGACTACTGTGAACAACTATATGCCCACAAATTGGATAACCTAGACAAAATAGATAAATTCCCAGAAATTTACCACCTACCAAGACTGAATCAGGAAGAAATAGAAAATCTGAACAGACTGATAACAAATAAGGAGATTGAGTCAGTAATCAAACAATAAGAAAAGCCCAGGACCAGATGGTTTCTTCGGTGAATTCTACCAAACATTTAAAGAATTAATACCATTCCTTCTCAAATTCTTTCAAACAAAGAGGAGAGAACACTCTCAAACTCATTTTATGAGGCCAGCATTACCCTGATACCAAAGCCAGATAAGGACAGTATAAGAAAAGGAAACTATAGGCCAATATCCTTGCTGAATATAGGTACAAAAATTCACAACAAAATATGAGCAAACCAAATTCAGCAGCACAACAGAAAGATCAGACACTATGATCAAGTGGAGTTTATCTCTAAGATGCAAGGGTGGTTCAGCTACATAAATTGATAAATATGATACACAGCATTAATAGAATGAAGGGTAAAAATTATCATCTCAACAGATGCAGAAAAAGCATTTGAAAAAATGCAACAACCTTTCATGGTAAAGATTCTGAACAAATTGGATATAGAAGAAATTATCTCAACATAATAAAGTCCATATATGACAAGGCCACAGTTAACATCATACTCAATGGTGAAAGCTTTTCCTCTATGGTCAGGAATAAAACAAGGGTACCCACTCTCATCACTTCTTTTCAACATATTACTAGAAGTCCTAGCCAGAGTAGTCAAGCAAGATAAAGAAATTAAAGGCATGTAAATCAAAAAGGAAGAACTAAAATTTTGTTTGCAGATGATTATGATCTCATATATAGAAAATCCTGAAGACTACCAAAAAGCTATTAGCATCAAAAGCAATAAATTGGTTGGGAATAAATTTAACCAAAGAGGCAAAAGATCTGAAAAGAAGGAAATTGAAGAAGACACACATAAATGGAAATCCACCCATGTTCATGGATTGAAAGAATTAATATTGTTTAAATGTCCAGAGCCATCTATAGGTTCAGTGCCATCCCTATCAAAATTTCAGAGGCATTTTTCACAGAAAATGAAAAAAAATCCTAAAATTTGTATGGAATCACAAAAGACCCCTAATTGCCAAAGCAATCCTGAAAAAGAACAAAGATGGAGGCATCATACTTCCTGATGATAAAATTATACTACCAGGCTATAGTAATCAAAACAGTGTGGTACTGGCATAAAAATAGTTACATAAACCAATGGAACAGAACGGAGAGCCCCAAATTAAACCCTCATATACATGGTTAACTACTATTTGAACAAGAGATCCAAGAAGACTCAATAGGGAAGGGCTAGTCTCTTCAATAAATGGTGTTGGGAAAACTGAATATAATCACACGCAGAAAAATGAAATGAGACCCCTATCTTAAAACACTCACAGAAATTAGCTCAAAGTAGAGTTAAGACTAATGCATATGACCTGAAGCTATAAAACTCCCAGAAGAAAACATGGGGGAAAACCTCCTTTTTACATTGGTCTTGACAATAATTTTCGGGATATGAAACCAAAAGCACAAGCAACAAAAGCAAAAATAAATAAGCAGGACCACATCAAACTGGACGTTTCTGCACTACAAAGGAAACAATCAACAAAATTAAGACCTCCTACAGAATGGGAAAAAAATATCTGCAGATCATATGTTTGATAAATACAGAAGGAATTCATACAACTCAATAGTAAAAAAAAAAAAATGGGCGTTTTTTCAAAGAAGATGTACAAATAGCCTACAGGTTCATGCAAAGATGCTCAGCATCACTAATCATCAGGGAAATGGAAATCAAAACCACTGGGAGAGATCACCTCATACCTGTTCAAATGGCTGTCATCAAAAAGACAAGAAATAGTAAGTGTTGGCAAGGCTGTGGAGAAAAGGGAACTCTTGTACACAGTTGGTGTGAATGTAAATTGGTATAGCAACTATGGAAAACTGCATGGAATTTCCTCAAAAAATTAAAAATACTACTACTATATGACCCAGCAGTCCCACTTCAAGGTATATATCCAAAGGCAATGAAACTAAAATCTCAAAGAGAGGGGTGCCTGGGTCGCTCAGTTGTTTATGCGGCTGTCTCTTGATTTCAACTCAGGTCATGATCTCAGGGTCCTGGCATTGAGCCCCATGTCAGTTTCCTTGCTCAGCAGGGAGTCTACTTGATTCCCCCTCCCTCTGCCCCTCCCCACTAAAATAAATAAATCTTAAAAAAAAAAAGATCTCAAAGAGATATCTGTATTCCTCTTTTCAATGCATCATTATTCACAATAGCCAAGATACGGAAGCAACGTAAGTGTCAGTCTATGGATGAATGGATAAAGATAGATAGATAGATAGATAGATACACATACATACATATATATGAATATTATATATATACGTGTGTGTGTGTGTGTGTGTGTATGAATATTATTCAGCCATGAGAAAAAAGAAAGAAGGAAATATTGCTACGTACAACAACGTGGGTGGACCTTGAGGGCATTATGCTAAATGAAATAAGACAGAAGAAGAAACAAAGAGAGTAGAATGGTGGTTTCCAGGGGCCAGGGATGGGGATAAATGGGAGTACCCTGCAAAGGGTACAGACTTCTGGTTATAAAATAAGTTCCGTGGATCCAATGTACAGCATGGTAACTTTAATTAACAGTATTATATTATGAACTTGGAAGTTGCCACGTGATTTTAAATGTTCCCAGCACAAAAAAGAAATAATTATGTGAGATGATATTGTTATTAATTAACTTTATTGTGGTGATCATTCTGCAATATATAAGTATCAAAACAACATGAACAAATTTAGCTTACACAGTGTTTTATGTCTATTGTATCTCAGTGATGCTGGGGGAAAAAAGAAATAAATTGCTTACCCTTTCACCCCATCTGTCTCTCCAAATCAGGCAGATAATCCTTAGGGTAGTTCACAGGTTTTCATTTAGGAAGTTAGTTGGGAGTAGACCAAGCTCAGATAAAGCCTGCTCACGAGTATAGAACTCTTTGGATGGGTATGTTTGTATTTGGGACATGCCATTTTTTTGCTAATTTTTTGGTATTTTTTTATTAACATATAATGTATCATTTGTTTCAGGGGCACAGGTCTGTGACTCATCAGTCTTATATAATACATAGTGCTCATTACAAAACATACCCTTCCCAATGTTCATTGCCCAGTTACCCCATCCCCCCGACTCTCTCCCCTCCAGCAACCCTGTTTGTTTCCTAAGAGTTTCTTATGATTTGTCTCCCTCTCTGATTTCATCTTTCATTTTTTCTTCTCTTCCACTATGATCCTCTGCTTTGTTTCTTAAATTCCACATTTTAGTGAGATCATATGATAATTGTCTTTCTCTGATTGACTTATTTCACTTAGCATAATACCCTCTAGTTCGAGCCACATCATTGCAAATGACACAATTTCAATTTTTGATGGCTACATAATATTCCATTGTATATAGATATCAAATCTTCTTTATCCACTCATCTGCCAGTGGACATCTGGGTTCTTTCCATAGTTTGGCCATTGTGGACATGGATGCTATAAACATTTGGGTGCACGTGCCCCTTCAGATCACTACATTTGTACCTTTGGGGTAAATACCCAGTAGTGCAAATACTGGGGCATAGGGTAGCTCTATTTTCAACTTTTTTGAGGAATCTCCATGCTGTTTTCCAGAGTGGCTGCACCAGCTTGCATTCCCACCAACAGTGTAGAAGTGTTCCCCTTTTTCTGTATCCTCGCCAACATCTGTAGTTTCCAGACTTGTTAATTTTAGCCATTCTGACTGGTGTGAGGTGGTATCTCATTGTGGTTCTGGTTTGTATTTCCCTAATGCGGAGTGGTATTGAGCACTTTTTTCGTGTGTTTGTTGGCTATTTGGATGTTTTCTTTGCAGAAATGTCTGTTCCTGTCTTCTGCCCATTTCTTGATTGGATTATTTATTCTTTGGGTGTTGAGTTTGAGAAGTTCTTTATAGATTTTTGATACTAGCCCTTTATCTGATATGTCATTTGCAAATATCTTCTCCCATTCTGACTTGTCTTTGGTTTTGTTGACTATTTCCTTTGCTGTGCAAAAGCTTTTTATCTTGATGAAGTCCCAGTAGTTCATTTTTGCCTTTGTTTTTCCCTTCCCTTTGGAGACGTGTTTAGGAAGAAGTTGCTGCAGCCAAAGTCAAGGAGGTTGCTGCCTGTCTTCTCCTCAAGGATTTTGTTGGATTCCTGTTTCACATTTAGGTCTTTCATCCATTTTGAGTCTATTTTTGTGTACGGTATAAGGAAATGGTCAAGGTTCATTCTTCTGCATGTGACTGTCCAATTTTCCCAACACCATTTGTTGAAGAGACTGTTTTTTTTCCAGTGTATATTCTTTCCTGCTTTGTCAAAGATCAGTGACCATAGAGTTGAGGGTCCATTTCTGGCCTTTTTATTCTGTTCCATTGATCTGTGTGTCTGTTTTTGGCCTGTACCATACTGTCTTGATGATTACAACTTTGTAATAGAGTTTGAAGTCCAGAAGAGTGATGCCACCAGCTTTGGTTTTCTTTTTCAACATTCCTTTGGTTATTTGGGGTCTTTTCTGGTTCCATACAAATTTTAAGATTATTTGTTCCAGCTCTGTGAAAAAAGTTGATTGTATTTTGATAGGGATTGCGTCGAGTGTGTAGATTGCTCTAGGTGGCTTAGACATTTTAACAATATTTGTTCTTCCAATCCACGAGCTTGGAACATTTTTCCATTTCTTTGTGTCTTCCTCAGTTTCTTTCATGAGTATTCTATAGTTTTCTGAGTACAGATCCTTTGCCTCTTTGGTTAGGTTGATTCCTAGGTATCTGATGGTTTGGGTGCATTTGTTAATGAGATCAAGTCCTTAATTTCTCTTCCTTCTGTCTCACTGTTGGTGTGTAGAAATGCAACTGATTTCTGTACAATGATCATGTCATTATTTTATGAAAGGGGGAATGCCCCACCGCAGCCCCTTTTCAGTGGCACACAAATATTGGAGAGTTTCTGGCTAAAGAGAGGAACTTTTTGGAGTTCCTCTATAATGTTTTAAAGTGAAACAAAAGCTACATTCCCTTAGAAGCTTTAACTGCATGTGACCTACTCAGCTGCTCTAGATTATATGGCTTCAAGTCAGTATATTTCCCTACATGTGGAAATAAACATTAGAGGTAGATTATTTTTTAAAGTATATCATACCTGAATCTAAGATTTTTTGATACCAGGCTTATGGACTAGTAAGTGGAAAAGAACGACAGGGACCTGGGATGCCAGGTTTCTAATGACAGTGCTAATGTGTTTTGTGGTCTTGAGCGAGGCACCTTTCTGTGTTATTTTCTCATCTGTTAAATGGTGATAGTGATATCTGTTACATTTACCTCAAAGGATTGTTAGGAAACTAAAATGGTAAAACATGTAAAAGGTCTTTGAAATGTAGAGCATTGTATGAATACTATAGCACAAAACTCAAAGTCCACTTCGGTCTTTATGTTCTTAAAACTGAAAACCATTTTAAGCATTTACTTTAATGGATCTGCCATCACAGTGTATTTAAAATGATGCTTTAACCCTGATAAAACTACCAATGTGTGTATAAATATCATTGTTCTTCTAAATAAAGAATAAATTTAATGAATACCCAACTTGATGACTTAAACCGTTATTTGCGTTTTTATTTATGATGTGTTTAGAATCTAAGGAAAATACCCCGTCAGATTTAAATGGACCCTGAGTAATGCTGGCTGTCTGGTTTCTGCAGGAGTTGATCTAGAGCAGTCAAGAAAAGAAGAGGAACAACAGATGTTACAGGATGCCCGCCAGTGGCTCAACAGCGGGAAAATTGAGGACGTAAGGCAGCCTCGCTCCGGGGCCACGGCCCTCCATGTGGCTGCTGCCAAAGGCTACTCGGAGGTCCTCAGGTATCGTCCATTTACGTCAATCAGGAGTTTGCCAGACTGGGAGAAGATGAGCTGGGGTTTGGAAGCAGGGGGTGAATTAGATTTTCAACTACAATGTGTTTCCTTACTGTTTTCCTCTCTAATCACACAGTCTTTTCTTATATTTTGCTGATAATAACCCATAGCTGGTCTCCCACCCTCCTGCTGTCACTCTAGCTTCTCACTAAGAAACAGATGAGGTGTACTGGCCTAGAAGATGACCTTACATGATCTCTTCCAATGCTATGACTTATCGTTACTATCCCAGCAGTCTCCTCCCCTGGTGACATGTAATACAGGACAGACTTGTGATTTGGGTCCTTTTTGGACAGAGGTAATTTCTCTGGGCTCTTTGGATTAAGGGTACAGATCTTGAGTGTGCAGTGTCCAGTTAGAGTGGAGTAGTTAAACTGATAAGAGGGATTTGGGTTCTGCTACTCTGCCTGTTCCATTTTTTCCTTGTCTGTACATGCTTTATGTAGCTTTTGATGCTTATGGGTTGACAGGCTTTCCCAGATGCTCGCAGCTGATAGCATTGTGTGTGTGGTCGTTGCCACACTCTTCCAGTGCTTCGCTTTCCACTGAATATGGGGTTTCTAATGGGTGTGGCAATATGTCGGTGTACTGTTTCTACCTGAGAGTGACATTCATATTCTGGTCATTTCTTAGGAGGTGTCTGGAGGCCCATGATATGGGTGACCTCAAGTCAGACCAGTGCATTTTGGGGTCTCAGGAATCATAACTTTCTTCCTCCATGCACACAGATTTTGATAGTTAGCAAGAAGTCTAGGCAAATACTTCGCAGAGTTGGGAGTTTGAGAGTCTGCAGTAAATATATGGGATCCTGCAAATATCAACTAGAAAGTTAGTAAGTAAAGAGCCCAGAGGAGAATTGAGCTCTCATTCTAGATGTTCTTTCCTCCCCGTACTGGGAAATGGAAAACATACCTTGTAACAGAGTTGTGATTTGGCAAATTTAATCAGGCTTTGGTGACTCTCAAAGGGATACACCTTTCTAAACACTACGCTTGTGTGGTATAACATGGATATGCCTGGGAAATACCTTATGACCTTTCACGGTGGTTGATAACTGCTGTCTGTGGTTGGTTCTCAGTGTAGGAACCATGAAGCCTGAGCTGTGCCTTAGAGGCCAGAAGTAATCACAATTTCCCAGTGGTTCAGGGCTGAAGTCTGAATATCAATTAGGTGATAGTTTATTTGCAGAAAATTGTAATATAGAGAGTGTAAGTGTCTTGTTTGGGGTTTTCTTTTTAGACTTTTAATCCAGGCTGGCTATGAACTCAATGTTCAGGATTATGATGGTTGGACTCCCCTCCATGCTGCTGCACACTGGGGAGTGAAGGAGGCTTGCTCCATCCTGGCAGAAGCACTCTGTGACATGGATATCAGGAACAAACTGGTTAGTATGCCTGACCCTCTAAAAGGGAGTAAAATTGGTGGCTGGGTCTCCAGAACAAAAGGCTCAAAGTTTCAGTTAAATGGCCAGACTTCCTGTCTAGGGAAATACATATCCCGAGGAGTTATTGGCTCGCTTCCCTGCACCCTTCTCCCTCCCCCGCTGCCCCCTTACCAACACAGTAGTGTTCGTTATGTAAAATAAAACTCTACTGATCAGCGTTCTGATTCTATTTATATTGAAGCCCCTAAAATCAATTGGAAAAAAAAATTCTTGCCCTTGACCAAAATGAGCACAGGGAAATCCTAAGGTTACTATCTATGGTGGCGTTATGAAGGATTTTATTTTATTTTTAATTCAAGGACTTTGATCGCTGAGCTCTACTCTCATCTAGTCATCAAAAAAATCATTATAATGACAAAGATCCTCGAGTCTGGCTGAAAATAGTTACTCAGCCTCACTAAAGGAACTTTAGAGGCCTTAGAACTCCTATCCCTACATCTAGTGATTTTCTAGGAATGCAGACAGGCTTTTTACTTCATAGCTGTTCTACCTGCTTCACATCTCTCCTGAACCCAGCTTTCATCCCCAGATTATGGGTTAGGGTCCTGAACTGCGCCAATGTGTCCTAAAAGAGATACCCTTCTCTCACTTAAAGGGACATGACTGCTGTGACTTAATCTTTAGTGCACATGAGCCCTGGACCCCCTTCTGAGGCTTTTAAAAGCCTCTTATTGAATTTATCATATATATTAAGTAAGACCACTTGAGAACAGGTACAAATAGAGATTTCACTTGATTATATGCCGAGGTGCAGTAAGCATTAGAGATAATTTGGTGATTTCCTCAATCCTGTTTTATAAAATGTAAAAACATGTATTTAAAGGATTTGATGTGCTTTGTTTTGGTTTGGTTTAGAGGAAGAGAGTGTGCATGGATGAAGGTGTGTGTGTGTGAGGGGCTGCAGAATCCTAAGTGGGTTCCACTCACAGAACATGACCTGAACCAAAATCAAGAGACGCTTAACCAACTGAGCTACCCAGGTTCCCCAGCAGACTTGCTGTTTCTTGTTAAGTTTCCTCTGTGATAGATGAAGGCATTATTATAATGTGCAGTAGATAAGTTAAGGAAGTAGCTATCACTGGAACCAATGCATAAAGTGAGTATTGACTATATCTCTGATAAAGTCACAACATCACTACTTCTGTTTTCTTTTGATCATGGTACCCCCTTTTCTGTGCCAGGGCCAGACACCATTTGATGTTGCTGATGAGGGTGTTGTGGAGCACTTGGAGATGCTCCAGAAGAAGCAGAATGTGGTAAGTCTATGGTTAATGCTTTAAAGCTTTTATAACAGTGTAGGTATTTCATACCTTGTTTTAGTTATGTCTGCTGAGAGCTGAAATGGACATACCTACATTTCAGAGATGACAGCTGTTCCCTTCAGGGACTAACAACAGTCTGTTAGAAAATATCCCAGAAACCATTGTTGTTAAAGTTTACTTATTATAAGCTAGCCTTCAAGCAGCTCAAAGTCAAAAATGATGAGAACAACAAACTAATAATTACCCTTGAGTTCTAGGAAGTGAATGTGGTATATTCAAAGTTTTTTCCAAATAGGGAGTACTAGAGTAGAGGACATCTTATAACTTTTTTCTCCCCTTATTGACTGAAAGGACATGTTTATTTAAAGCAAATTCATTACAGACAGAAATATATTTCTTTCTTAAAGAGGTTGGGTGAGCCTGGTGGTGGGTATTATGGAGAGCACGTATTGCATGGAGCACTGGGTGTGGTGCATAAACAATGAATTCTGGAACACTGAAAAGAAATAAAAAATAAAAAATAAATAAAATAAATAAACCTATCTTTTTGTATTGGACAATACTTGGTCAGTGATTCATACTTAGGATTCATCAGATATCCAGAATTCAATCCTCCTCTCCCTTCTCATTCTAAATCTTTTATTGTTTGCTTACGTGTACTGTTACATTGCTTAGTGCTATACAGGAGAACTACCTAAGTATGGTACTCATGTACAGACTGCGGAAGGAAAAAACCCACCCAATATCCAAAAAATGTGAATAATTCACATTTTCTACCTGTAAGTGAGATGAGTAATTTGGGCAAAGAGAATAAAGATCATCTACTGACGACCATCAGGGCTGATGTCTGAACAGAGTAGGAAAAAAAAAAACACTAGCTTTCCTTTGTGTTTTCCTTTGCATGAGTTGTGACTAGGGCATGTGAACTCAAGTTTAGGACAAAGGAGAGAAGCTTAGAGCAGTCCTGACAAAAATAACTATGGAGTGCCCTGGTGGCACAGGTCAACTGTATCCCACCTCACACATGTATGGCACCACGTCTGGACTGGTAGAGGGAAGATCCTTGTTACTTCAAGGCTTAGTGCGACAGTTGCATACATAAAGCTCAGACAAACACAACTTACTAGTTCATTTTGTTTTCTTTGGTAAGCTGTGGAACCAAGGCTAAAACATGGGACTTACCACACACTATCTGGGCTGTTATCTTGCAGAATCAGCCTTCCTAAGGTGTATGCTTTTTTTAGTTAGGTTTTTGTTGTTTTCTTAAACTTTTCATTCTGAAATAATTTTTAGAACCACATAGAAATTAGGAAAATAATAGAGAGTTTCAATGTATCGTTTACCCAGCATGGTTTGGTTTTTGAACATAAATTATATTTTCACTAAATAACATTTCTGCTTCTCTTTGCTCCCTGCATAACTTTGGGGTCCAGGGATATAAACTCATTTTGTCTAGAGTATGTATCTAAATACCAGATAATTTATTCTAAGGACTTATTTCCCCTTTGATACCTGTTTTTTACCTTGAGAACTACTGCTAGCCTAATTCAGGATATGGTCATAAAGAATTCTTTCAAAGTTCCTCCTTTTTTTTTTCTTTTTTTTTTAATAAACATATAATGTATTTTCATCCCCAGGGGTACAGGTCTGTGAATTGCCAGGTTTACACATGTCATAGCACTCATCATAGCATGTACCCTGCCCAATGTCCATATCCCCACCACCCTCTCCCATCCCCCCTCCCTCCCAGCAAACCTCAGTCTGTTTTTTGAGATTGAGTCTTTTATGGTTTGTCTCCCTCCCGATCCCATCTTCTTTCATTTTTTTCTTTTCCTACCCCCCAAACCACCCACATTGCATCTCCACTTCCTCATATCAGGGAGATCATATGATAGTTGTCTTTCTCCGATTGACTTATTTCGCTAAGCATAATACCCTCTAGTTCCATCCATGTCGTCACAAATGTCAAGATTTCATTTCTTTTGATGGCTGCATAGTATTCCATTGTGTATATATATCACCTCTTCTTTATCCATTCATCTGTTGATGGACATCTAGGTTCTTTCCATAGTCTGGCTATTAAGGACATTGCTGCTATAAACATTCGGGTGCACGTTCCACTTCGGAGCACCACGTCTGTATCTTTAGGATGTATACCCAGTAGTGCAATCGCTGGGTCATAGGGTAGGCCTCCTTTTTTTTTTTTTTTTTTTTAAAATTCATCAGAAGCCAGGTTTTTTTTTTCTTTTTAAAGTTTATTTTATTTATTTTATTTTAGTAATCTCTCTATACCCACCATGGGGCTTAAAGTCACAAACCCCAGATCAAGAGTCACATGGTCTTCCAACAGAGCCAGCCAGCCTCCCCTAGAAGCCAGGGTTTTTTTGAAGATTGAGTTTGGATATTTGATACGGACAGTTTTATTGAAGCTCTAACACCATGGTTTTTCTCTAACCTTGGATGAGGATTTTTGTCTGTCATTTTCTTCGAAGGAGACCAAACTGATGGGTTTCTCTCTTTCTCAGTTCTTTCTTCCCCTTTTGGTGTTAGTCCTGTCTTCTTCAGAATGACAGTACCATTTTGAGTTCTTCTCATTGCTGCTGATTTTTACCAATCATCAGCTTCTTCCCTTTCCTCTCTGTTTTCTCAATTTCCAGCTTCGAAGTGAGAAAGAGACACGGAATAAGCTCATTGAGTCAGACCTGAACAGCAAGTTGCAGAGTGGACTCTTTAAGAAGTAAGACATTCGAGACTTGAGAAATGCAATGAGCTCTGCTGTGTTTGGGTGCATATGTGTGTGTGACATACTTAGCTTGAAAATTTATACAGGAAAGAAACTGTGTCGATTTAAACCAAATGATCTTTAAACATGTGGGAAGTTTGAGGGGCAAAAGAACTGGCATTGATACATGAGGGAGACACTGAGGATGGATGAATGTGTTGTTGTTGTTTTTTTTAATTTATTTTTTTAAAGATTTTTATTTATTTGAGAGCAAGAGTGCAAGCATGAGCAGGGAGAGGGGCAGAAAGGGAGGGAAAAGCAGACTTCCTGATGATCAGGGAGCCCAACACAAGGGATATGGAGCTTGATCCTAGGACCGTGAGATCACAACCTGAGCCGAAGGCAGACCCTCAACCAACTAAGCCACCCAGGTGCCCCAGGTGATGATGTTTTATTTTTTTATTTTTTAAAGATTTTATTTATTTATTTGTCACAGAGAGTGAGTACAGGCAGACAGAGAGGCAGGCAGAGGCAGAGGGAGAAGCGGGCTCAAGGAGCCCGACGTGGGACTTGATCCCAGAACGCTGGGATCATGACCTGAGCCGAAGGCAGCCGCTTAACCAACTGAGCCACCCAGGCATCCCGGTGATGATGTTTTAAATTTAGAAATTAATTGAGACAGTGTACAACATATTTTCCCCCCAGCTTAGGAGTTCTTAGTCCTAGCTACATCCTTAACTGTAAGTGCTCTGAACTCAGGGACATGTGTGTTTTGTTTATCACTGTTACCAGCTTGATTCCTAGCAGGTAATAAGCACACAGTAAACATTTGTTAAGTGACTTTTTAAAACATTTACCTGCTTCATCACCGTCAAGATTCATAGCCCTCCTTTTTCCTGTGTGTTGAACAGGCTAGATCTACTTAAGTCATATTCTAAAGTATGAACCTTATTCTGCAAAAACCCAAGGATTCAGAAGAATGTAAAGAAGGATTTGATGTATTTCTGTTATTGCTTTTACACAGAAGTTTATGGATTTGTTTTCCTTATGTTTGATTGTCAATGAACTTAAATAGTTTGCCATTTCTGAGTTACACTCAAATTGTCATCTCTAATTAGCAAAGAGAAGATGCTGTATGAAGAAGAGGTACCCAAGTCCCAAGAAATGGAGGAAGAAAGCAAAGAGTCCAGCAGCTCCAGCTCAGAGGAGGAGGAAGGTGAAGATGAAGCTTCTGAGTCAGAAACTGAGAAGGAAGCAGGTAATGTAAAGATGTTGGTAGCAAAGGTCCTCTGTTTCCATAATGCAGGGAGATAACTGCTTATCAGAGCTAGGAGGCCTTAGAGGACTTTAAGTTCTTTATGTTTAGTTTTCCAAGATAAGATACCAAATTTTGAGTGAAAACTTGGTTGTAAAAGCTGTGAGCTAGGTTAGAATATGTGTATTAGTATCTATGTAGCCGTATGACAAGGCACACACACAAATTACTTTTTTAAAAAAAGATTTATTTATTTATTTATTTATTTGAGAGAGAGAGAGGGAGGGAGAGAGAACGAGCCAGCGCCCAAGCGTGTGCTTGCGAGCAGGCAGGGAGGAGAGGGAGAGGATCTCAAGCCCACTTGGCACTGAGTGTGGAGCCCAATAGGGCTCTTGATCCCATGACCCTGAGGCCATGACCCAAGGGGAAATCAAGAGTCAGATGCTCAACTGACTAAGCCACCCAGGTGTGCCGCAACCCACCCCCCTCCCGCAGGCCAAAATTCTTGTGTAAAGGAGCCAACTCTCTGACCTCAGGTTGGTAGGGTATAGAGACCAGATATGCAGTAGGCTGAGAAGTGAGATCTTGCAGTCATATTTGGTCAAGTATCTTTAACCAGCTGGTGAAAATTTGCATTTAGTTTTCAGGTTCCTCTGATTCCCTAAACAGAATCCCAAGATCTTTTCATTTTCCTTCTGATTATGTGAACCTCCTTCAATTCCTGAGTTGGGGATTGAAGAAGGAACAAAATCATATTTACCTTTATGACTCTTATTGATATTATATATGCTTCATGTGGCATTTCTTAAGGTTATCATATGGAAGCCCAACAGTGAGAGTGAGGTGTTGAACATGGTTAGATCCACAAGTTGCAGAAGTACCCATTGGTTTTGATATACAGTCAGGCAAACATTGAGAAAAGAGATACTGGGTTTTACTGAATAGAGGTTCAACGGCAACAGAATAGTTCTTATGGATAACTGGAAGTTAACGATAACTAAGGTTTTGTTTTGTTTTGTTTTTAAAGATTTAATTTATTTATTTGACAGACAGAGATCACTAGTAGGCAGAGAGGCAGGCGGGGGGGTGGGGAAGCCCGCTCCCTGCTGAGCAGAGAGCCCGATGCGGGGCTTGATCCCAGGACCCCGAGATCATGACCCGAGCCGAAGGCAGAGGCTTAACCCACTGAGCCACCCAGGTGCCCCAACGATAACTGAAGTTTTATAGTACATGTGTCCTGCACTCACTGGTTTATATTAGTATATTAGTATTAGCTCACTGAATGTCACCAGAGGAAATTAAAGATCATTGATTGTATAGAGAAGATAGATACCAACTAAGTTTGTAGCATAGGAGATGACTTTTTACTCATGGAGCCTTGAATTTCTATTATTAAGCAAGCACAACTTGCTCTGGAAATGCTAGTCTAGTACCTATCAACATTTGTAAATGTTCATCTTTTTTATGTTTTTATTATTTATTGAGGACTTACATGTCTTAAGCTTCAGGAATTAATTACTATCTGGTCTTGCTCTATGCTAGATCACTTTGTTAGCTACCAAGGTATTTGAAGAATGGGAGGGAGCTCCCTGAACTACTGGAATTGCTTTGTGATATGTTCCCAGGCTTCAGGTCTCTGGTCCCTGCAGCCCATCTCTGCATTGCGGTTGGAGTAAAACACCCTCAGCTCCCTTTGATTATATTACACCCCTGTCCAGAAACCATCTACGACCTCCTTTGCTACTCCCATCTTTGCTTGTAGAGTAAATCCCAAGTCCTGTAGCCTGACCTTCAAGATCTTTCATAATCTATCTCTAGCTGAGCTTTCCAGTGCTATCCATAGGCTAGCTGGATACTAGCCAAGCTGGATTTCTTGATTTCCCCAAACATGCCCTTAGTTTTCCTACCCCTGAACATTTATTTGCACCTTAGAATTCATTTCTATCAAATGTTTATTGACTGATTTCTGTTACAAGCTATAGGATTTACTGGAATGAGGAGCCCTTCTTTAGGTTTTTCTATATAAAAAACTGAAAAGGAGTGGATTGCTTCACTGTTCTCCCACCCCATGATAATTGCTCCCCTGTTTGTATCCCTCTAGCACTTCATACTTACCTCTGTTGTAGCACTCATCATTCTGGCTGGGAACTCCAGGTTTATCATTTACTCCTAAGTCTCTGCATGACGCCTGACACAGGATAGGCATTCATGTTCATTAAATAAATGCTTTTTGTTGGATACATCTAGGACATACAGGGGAATAGGAAGGCATGTACATGAATAAAATACATGTCACATGAGAGATATAAATGTTGTCAATGGTATTCACTAGTAAGAGAGATTATATTTAGTTTGGGAGATTATAACAACATTTGAGTAGTGCTTTTTACTCTGCAGTGTACTTATAGCCACACCCTGAGGGATGTGTTATCACCACATTTTAGAGTGGGAAATTGACCCTGTAAGGGGTGAGGAAAATTGGGTCTCATAGCTGTCAAGTCGTGTGCCTGAGATCCTGATTTTGATCTGGGACTCCTCAGAGTAGCAGGGGCAGAGTGAAATGTGGAAATCATCTGCCTAAAAGGTGAAAGCTAAAGGTACGGGAAAGGAGGAGATTTCCCAAGGGAGAGATTGTAGAGAAAAGATGTACAAGAAAGAGTCATGGGGCATGCTTTGTTTAGGAGGCAAAGAAGGTATGGTCAGAGAGGTTGAGGATAACCAGGATATGTGTTTCTGCATCAGGAAAGCCAGGGTAAGGGGATGCCTGTGTGACTCATTCAGGTAAGCAGCTGCCTTCAGTTCAGGTCATGATCCTGGGGTCCTGGGATGGAGCCTCATGTCAGGCTCCTTGGTCACGGGGGAGCCTGCTTCTCCCTCTACCTCTGTCTCCCTCTCCCTTTGCCTTCTGTTCCCCCTGCTTGTGCATGCTCTCTCCCTCTCTCTCAAATAATTAAATAAAAGCTTAAAAAAGAAAGAAAGAAAATCCAGGGTAAGAGTAGGAAGGGAGAGGTCAAGAAATAGAGGGCATTTAGGGAGTCTGGTAATCTCAGCAGTTTCTGTAGCCTGATGGAGGCAGAAGCCAAATGGTTCTAACAAGCTTCCCTGGTCATTTCTGCCAGTTGAAGTTTTCCTCATATTTCAAAGCCCAGCTCAAATTGCTTCTCTTATGAAAAGAAGTTTCTTTTATGAAACGTGTTTTCATCACAGAAACAAGTTTTTTCCCCCTTCTCTGACTGGTAGCTATCTGTTTGAACTTCTTTCATATTACCCTACCTAATAGTAGTGTTATTTCTGTTTGTTTCTCATCTCCTCTCTTCTTCCCTTACCAGCAAGTTTCAGAAGCACTGAAATGTGTTGTGTGTTTTGTTTATCTTTCTGTCTTCCATAATGTCTGGCACTGGGTCTTCTAAGTGGTAGGTGCACGATAAATACACATTATACATAAGTGTATATTGGAAGAATATGGGGAAGTGGATTATATCTAAACCTTTCCAAATGCCCAACACATTATATATGTGCTAAACAAGTATTTCATTTTTTTTAAAGGTTTTATTTATTTATTTGATAGAGAGCACAAGCAGGGGGAGGGGCAGGCAGAGAGAGAGGGAGAAGCAGGCTCCCCACAGAGCAGGGAAAGCCCGATGTGGGCCTCAGTCCCAGGACCCCAGGATCATGACCTGAGCTGAAGGCAGTCGCTTAACCAACTGAGCCATGCAGGTGTCCCTAAACAAGTATTTATTGAATTCATTTATCCTGTTTTTAAAGATCCACAGAGTAGGAAAAGAATTAACAAAACAAGATGGGATCGGGAGGAAGATAAACCATAAGAGACTCTTAATCTCACAAAACAAACTGAGGGTTGCGGTGGCGGGGACAGGGGGACGGAGAAGGTGGTGGGGTTATGGACATTGGGGAGGGTATGTGCTATGGTGAGTGCTGTGAAGTGTGTAAACCTGGCGATTCACAGACCTGTACCCCTGGGGCTAATAATACATTATATGTTAATTAAAAATTTAAAAAATTTTTAAAAAATATCCACAGATACAGTCTCATAAAATGACAGTTTTCATGTGTCTTCCATGTAAATGTAGTTGTAAAGAATACTAACTCTCTCTTGAGGTGAATGTAAGCGGTTTGATCTGGATTTCTGTTTTCCCCTTTCTTTTACTTATTCAACTTAAACACTTGGTATATTAGTTATCTATTGCTAAATAACAAGCCATTCCTAAATTTAGTGGTGCTTAAAACAACTATTTATATATACCCAATTCTGTGGGTTGGCAGTTTGGGAGGGACTTCCCCGGGATGGCTTTTCTCTCCGTGTGGTAATACTGGGCTTACACCTGTGTTGGTGGTCAGTTCGTAAGTTAGCTGGGGCTGGCTGCTCCCGGATGGCCTTACTCACCTCTCTGGCGGTTGGTTAAAATGAAGCAAGTGGGCCATGTTCATCAAGCAAACTAGCCCCTGCTTCTTCCCACAGCAGTTGGATTCCACAGGAAGAGAGGGCAAGCCTCTGCTTGTGTCACATTTGCTAATGTCCCAGTGGCCATCAAAAGTCACATTGAGGGGCGCCTGGGTGGCTCAGTGGGTTAAAGCCCTGCCTTTGGCTCAGGTCATGATCCAGGGTCCTGGGATCGAGCCCCCATTGGGCTTCCTGCTCAGTGGGGATCCTGCTTCCCCCTCTCTCTCTGCCTGCCTCTCTGCCTACTTGTGATCCCTGTCTGTCAAATAAATAAATAAATAAAATCTTTAAAAAAAAAAAAAGAAAGAAAAGAAAGTCACATTGATAAGCCCAGAGTTAATCTGAGAGGCCACTACACAGGGGTATAGATTCATTGAGGGTTCTTACTATAATGATCTGTCACATTTGGGTAGTCAGGTGTGCTTCTTGGGGAGAGAGATACTCAGATAATATTTAAAGAATGTCTTAAATATTCATAATAACCACAAGAAATGATAACATTAATAATAAATAACTCTTTACTAGGGACTTATTATGGCCATTAATAATGCAATTTAAAAACATTATCTCTAGACTTTATAGCAATTCATAGGTAAGAATTAAAATCCCTGATTATTCAATGAGAAAAGAGAGGTTCATATATGTTAAGTAATTTGCCCAATGTCCGCAGCTAGAATGTGGCTTAAAATTGTCCCGTAATTCATAGGTGGATTACTCTGGGGCCCTATTTCCAGAGTACATGGATCAGAAGACACCACCATACCTATTAGTTGTAGGTGCTGATGTAGCAGTGAACGAGACAGATGGGATTTCCACTTGATGGCCCTATAAGATGGACTACCGTTATTTATTAAGAGGGTTCACCTACTACAGTTCTGTAGCTTAACTCGCAATATCCCTTGTAACCCTTTCTACCTTTATTTCCTGTTGTAGTCCCAAGAATGTTCATTACTTTAGTTAGGCCTGCTTAAGTTAGGCCCACTTAGACTTAAATTTACTGACCAGCAGATGTGTGTATTTTGATCTCTGAGTCATTACTCATACGCTTTCTTCCTCCTGCCAGTTGGTATTTGTCTTCCTGTGTTTCTATGGCATCTTTCCTTGTCATTTCCTGCCTCAGAGGATTTATTCTAGATTCATAAAGCCCCATCGATCCAACTCAGCCAATTTAGCACCTAACTTAGATATGATCTTCTGTTGTTACTATTATCACTATGCATCTTATCTCATGTCTTGATTATAATTACCTAGAAAGCAAGATCTATCTGGTTTTTCCTGCCCAACCTCCCAAAACAGAGTAGATTCTTATTATGTACTTACTGATGAATTTTATCTATGGTACATAATGTGGAGAAAGTTTTCAGCTATATATCTGGGAATAAGAGCCTATCGAGAAAGGAATTTTACCATGGAGTTTATTTCCTTTTGGCAACAGTTGCTAGAGTTTTCATTTTAGTTTGAGTCCAAGCATTACACGGCCCAAATACTCTGTTTTGATAATGGGTAAACCTTTTCTGTTAGCAGAAAAGTACATACATAAATGCACAGATAAGGTTTTCATATTTGCCCTTGTTGCTTCTCTTGTCTTAAATAATAGATAAAAAGCCAGAAGCCATTGTCAACCATTCCAACTCTGAAAGCAAGAGTATTATCACGGAACAGATACCACCACCAGCTCAGAATACCTTCTCTGCCTCTTCAGCTAGGAGAGTGAGTATTTTGGAACTTATTTGAATATTATATTTCTCTACTATGGTTACATACAGTTTGAAAGGCCTTAAAGATGCACTCTTCATATAATATAGATACATCTTGCCTGTCCTTGTCTGCTTAGTCTGTGTAACAAAATACCACCAACCAGATGGCTTTAAACAATACAAATGTATTTCTCACAATTCTGGAGACTGGGATGTCCAAGATCACAGAGCTAGCTGAGTCAGTTCCTAGCGAGGTCTCTCTTCTAGTGTGCAGATGGCTACCTTGTCTCCAAGTATTATAGTCATATTGGGCAGAGCTTCAAAGTATCCGTAGCGATGTCTCTGACAGAACCCGGACCTCCCTCCTCACCCAGGCATTTAGCTGTACCTCACATACTCCCACTGCTTCTAAGTACGACTAGACTTCTTGCTTTCTTTTAATTTATTTTATTTCTCTTTTTATTTTTGAGAGAGAGAGAGAGTGTGCGTGACTCTCAGAATCAGGGTGGCTTAGAAAGAGCTGGAGGGAGTACATAAATATATCCATTCAGGGACTAAGTAAAAGAGAAATTCTAAGTGTGAGCTGGAGATGAGTGATTTAGTGTCTCTATTGCATTTTCACTCCACCAGGCAGTAAAGGTGGCCTGATAACCTGGAGAAAGACCGAAGCCATCTTGCAGAGGTCCCCCAGGTCCCAGGCATGGATCACTGACTGCCGTTCGAAAGAGCAGCTACTTCAGACCGGTGTTTGGGCCTAACACTAGTCTATGATGTTTTCTGTGGTTTATGGCAAAATGAGATGAAGACAATGGAAGCTTTTCAGAAAGCTCTCTTTTCTGAGGTTAAAATGTTTTTCTTTTTTTAATGAAATGATAGTGATGGAAATGGTAAGCAAGTGTTTGAAAGATGTTGTCCTGGCAAAATCTAGACAGATGGCAATTCTGTGACTTCTGCCATTTTTCTTCTTTTTTAATTTTGCTGCATGGTGAGATCTGAAACACTTGGAACTGCTGCCCAAGATCAAATAAACTATTTTCTTGAAATAAGCAATTAGAATTTGAGTGGAGTGAGTTTTAATATATTTTTTTAAGATTTTATTTATTTATTTGATGGAAAGAGATCACAAGTAGGCAGAGAGGCAGACAGAGAGAGATGGGAGAAGCAGGCTCCCCGCTAAGCAGAGAGCCCCAGAACCCTGAGACCATGAACTGAGCCGAAGGCAGAGGCTTAACCCACTGAGCCACCCAGGCGCCCCGAGTTTTAGTATTTTTATTACTGTTAACTTAAATTGGCTTACCACAGTCTTACCACAGTACCTTAAAACATATTTATACATTGCCTCATCTGTGTTTTCTAGTCTTCACATGTTATAAGGAGGAATTAAGCTTATTATCACCATTTTACAGGTGAGCATGTTGAGACCTAGAGAAGTAAAATGTCCCATTTTCAGTTACACAGTCGAGCAAGAGAAGATGTTTTTACTAGAACGTGGTTCTCCTGGTGTTCTAGGTCAGTACTCATTGCTAAGAGAGCAAACAGTGTTTAATTTCTCAGAGAGCAACTCTGTCAGTAGGAGCACTGTGTTAAGAATCTGAGGCTATTTCTGGCTCAGGGAGAAAGGGAGCCTTGAGCAGTTACTAGCGTCTGCCAGGTGAGGAAGGGAACATTGGCAGAAAGCCTGCCACGTGTTTGTTCTCCTTGTGCTGCCCGATACTGCCTCGCTGAACTTAGTTAAGTGTGGGAAAAGGCAAACAGGCTGAAAAGAATCATCAGGACCTTTTTTTATTCCTCCTTTTCTTTGCTTTGCTTCTTCCCTCGTAGTTCTCCTCCAGCCTTTTCAACAAGCCAGAAGAGCCCAGAGATGAATCTCCTTCTTCGTGGAGACTGGGACTCAGAAAAACTGGCAGCCACAACATGCTGAGTGAGGTGGCCAATTCTAGAGAGGCTCTGAGGGACCGAGGCTCCTCCATCCACCGGTCGTCATCAAGCCCTCGGATATCTGCCCTGCTGGACAGCAAAGATAAGGTGCAGTTTAGGCAGGGTGCGGGGGAGTTCATAGGCAGTTCCCTTCTGTGGAAATGCAGTCTCAGAGCAAAGGAAAGTGTGTTCTAGTCCCTGATTTGATTTTGGAAGTACAAAGTCTTTAAAGGGAGATGGCACGTCGGTAGTTAAATCAGTTAGCGATTTGCTTGCTATTACTACTCGGCCAAAAAAGAAAAACCCTTTACCTTTTGGCATAGCTTATGTTCATTTTTCCTTACCCTCCTTACCTAGGACAAATTAATTAATTAATTAATTAATTAAATCAGAAACAGGACGATTTGGATATGGCCTAAGTTTCCCTTGAACCAATACCAGTAATTTATTCTTTCAGTGTTTGGAAGCAAAGTTCCTTAGCTGGACTTTTTTTTTTTTTTTTAAGATTTTATTTATTTATTTGACACACACAGAGAGAAATCACAAGCAGGAAGGGAGGGAGGCAGAGAGTGGGGGGAAGCAGGCTCTCCACTGAGCAGAGAGCCCGATGTGGGACTCGATCCCAGAACCCCGAGATCATGACCTGAGCCGAAGGCAGAGGCTTAACCCACTGAGCCACCCAGGCACCCTGGACTTTTGATCCTAATGAAGCTCGGGCAAATTAGCACGTAGGAAAAACATGTTTCAGTGCCTCATTTTTTTCATGACTAGATGTCTGATCAGGCTTACTTCACAAACCCCTCATCCACGTAATCATCCAAGATCAGTGCATTGTTATTTCTTAACTTTTGGTTCTAGATTTTCTAGAGCTCCCCTGATGCCCTTCTCTGGGGTTAGGTCTGCCCTGTAACCATAGTGCCCTTGCTCAGGATTATGTTTCTGGAGATCCTGAAGGAGAGGAGGCCTTATTGGTTGGATGAACTCTGCCGCATGTTAGTCGTACATGAAGCTGCATTTCAAAGGGAAGATAGGCTGGGGAAGAAATAAGGCTCATTTCATGAAGAACCTTCTGTTTGTGGCTTTCAAAGGCTCCGTCTCTCCTGACAGCCGCTGCTTATGTCATTTGTGCTGCTGTTTTCCTGTTTTTGATCATCTTGGCTTTTCCCACGAGAATTATTTCCCTGCATATTGGTTTTTAATGGAGGAAATGTAGGAATCAGCCTTTGGAAGGTAACCTTTTGTAATACCGCTCAAACCAGAATTGGTATTGGATCAGGAAATAAGATGATACAGGTGTATCGCTGTCTGCTTTTTCACCCAGAACGTTACACCGTGTCAGTGTTGTACCTTCCCTGTGCTTCACTTGTTTTGATTTTACAGGAGAGAGAAAACAAAAGCTATTTTAGTTCGCTAGCCCCCCGGAGGCTCAGCAGCACAAGCGACATTGAAGAAAAGGAGAACAGGTAATCCGAATACAGGCCAGAAGATGGTCCTCTGGGGGCAGGTGCCCCTGGCCCATTATGGATTGTTTATCCCTTCTGCTTAGAGCTCCTCCCAGCCCTAGCTCTCGTGCTTTGCCAGTTCTTCACCCTTCACGCTCTCACTTCAGCTTGGGTATTACTGTCTTTAGGAAGTCTTCCCAGACCCTTCCAAGGGTGAATTTGTTTAGTACACCAACAGGCTCTTTGAAGGTAGGGTCTGTATCTGTCTGGTTTCTCAGGGACCCCTAGTACCTAGCACGCGACCTGCTCCATAGTAGATAAAAAGATATTGTTCTTAGTGATCAACTTCTAATGTGTATGTACATAAAATTTCAAGTCTTCCTCATCAGTGAAAATGAATGTGAGGACTTTGAGATACTGCTGCATCTCAGGCAGAGCCTGATTGAGAGCCTTGCTTTTCGTTCTTTTTTATTTTATTTTATTTATTTGACAGAGATCACAAGTAGACAGAGAGGCAGGCAGTGAGAGAGAGAGGGAAGCAGACTCCCTGCTGAGCAGAGAGCCCGATGCAGGACTCCATCCCAGGACCCTGAGATCATGACCTGAGCCGAAGGAAGCAGCTTAATCCACTGAGCCACCCAGGCACCCGAGAACCTTGCTTTTCAAGGTGTGGTCTTCCCACTCAGCTGCACTGGTATCACCTAGAAGCATGTTAGAAATGCAGAATCTCAGGCCCCACCTCAGACCTGCTGAATTAGAACTTGCATTTTAACAAAATTCTCTAGGTCATTCAAATGCACATTGAAGTTTGAGGACTATTATGGAGAGCCGCAGCTTTGGTCGCAAAAGCCCTGAGTGAACAGTTGTGAATTAGAAATCCTACTACTGCCCTTTCCTGGATGGCTTTTATTTATAACACTAAGTAGACTTCCAGCATGTTCTTCTCTTTTCCTCTTTAGTTACCTCTTCCCTTGTGACAGACTTCCTCATCTTCCCCATCATCCTCTTCTCTGCTTACTTAGGAACAATCTGTTGGTTTTGTAAAGCCCTTTAAAGGAGAAGCAAAAGTGAGTTCTCATTACCAAAGAATTGGACACCTTTGATACAAGGATTTGGTACCTGTTGAAGTTAGTTGGCTTTGAAGTTGATAAAAGAAAGCAGGCAGTAGTAATACTTGACCCATCCTTTGTGTATACAGAAAACAGGTTCATATAAAACAAAGCATCACTCGAAAAGTGTTTCTATTTCTTTAGCCATATTACAGTTCCTGTCCCTGGCTCTTCTCTCCCAGTTTGGAGTGTTTTTGTTTGTTTGTTTTGTTTTATTTTGGTTTTGATTATTTACTTGCAGTAGAGAGAATGTGAGTCAGGTGTGGGGGGCGGGGCAGAGGGGGAAGCAGACTCCCCGCTGATCAGAGCGCATGATGTGGGGCTCAGTTCCAGGACCCTGAGATCATGACCTGAGCCAAAGGCAGACGCTTAACCAACTGAGCCACCCAGGCACCCCTCCCAGTTTGCATTGTATCATGGACAAAACTGGTGGCAGGAATCAGTGCTTTGTTTTCTTTTTCTTCCATGCCTCTCCAGAGAATCAGCTGTTAATCTAGTGAGGAGTGGTTCGTACACACGGCAGCTGTGGAGGGATGAAGCAAAGGGAAGTGAAACTCCACAGACAGTTGCTCCTTCTACCTATGTATCAACCTACTTGAAAAGGTATCAGGTTCCATGGGGCGGGAGATGATTTTTCTTCACTCTGGTTATGGGCGTATGGGTAATAATTGCATGCCATTTATATCCAATTAGCACCACAAAAATGAATCAAAAATGAATTACTTTTAGATTTCTTGGGAGTAACATCTTGACTAATTTTAAATTAACATTTATTTTTCTAACTGAAGTAAAGTAAGCTAATTCCAAATTCTCACCACAGACAGATCCAAATTTATACTCTTTCTTCTCAGTCCTATTAAAATCTTCAACTGGAAGTGACTTCTAGTAACCCCTGAGCAGGACTGAATCTAAATCACCTTTGTCCAGTAGTTAGTTTTCCTTTTTCTAAAACTTGAGTAGTTCTCATCTCAAGTTACATTTTTATGGGGAGGAAGGGAGGGACCCTATAGGGTGGTGAGGTGGATGGGTAATGGGGAGTTTTGAATTGCATTAAAGAAGTTTCATATTGAAGCCTGTTAATTTAGGGACTTGAGTTGTTTTTTTTTTTTATGACTTTAATGGCCCTCAGATCCATCAAGATGTGAAACTCGCAAGTTTGGTGCAGAGAAGGTACATGGGTTTCCTTCCCCTTTTCTCATTTATATATTCTCTTTTCTGCCATTATTTTCTTTGCCATGTACCAGCCAGCAAGCAAAGCACCTTTGCCAGAGCCATTAAGCTATAAGATACACTTAATTAGTGTTTTGATTTGAACTTTGCTGCTGATGTGGAAGAGTCTGGCTCTCATTGCTTACTTTGAATTCTTTCTTCACTTTCATTTACTCAACCCCTCCAGCTGCCTCTTCATGCCATGGGCTTCATCATTAGGTTTTATGGATGATTGGTTGGCTGCCCGAGAAACAGCCTTTTGTCATAAAATACGTGTTTGGGTTCAAAACTTATTTCCACTGGATTGAAGGAATCTTGTCAACTAGTTAATGTCAGAATGTGGGAATTAGCGAGCTATAAAACAGCCACTGTGGCCTTTGGATGGTCTTCAGTTCTACAGGGGTAGTGGGTAGTTCAGTGATCTCACTAAAGCTTCATTATATATACAAACTTGGTGTTTTTGGCTCAATGAAGCTATCACTTACCTGTCTTCAGGGCTAAGGTCTTAGTCTATCTAGATACATCATTACCTCTTATGGTTGCATCCAAGACCAAGAAAACTTTTCTAAGAAAGTAACGTTCTAGATCTAGGAAAGAGAGAAAGCTGCATTTAATTTCCAAGCATGTTGTTACATTGTGGTGGGGTGGTTCTTTTTCACCTTCCAGATCATTAACACATGGGTTGAGTGAGTAGCATCTGGATAGATAGATACATACATATAGTTGGCATAATTATGGTAAACAGAGGAGGAAGGGACTGCTTCTGTTTAGGGTGGAAAGCATGCTTAATTATGAGTTCTTTTTGAAAGATCCACAACTTGCTTAATACTTTGGATTTCCAAACCTCTGTCACCCTTAAAGCATTTTTTTGATTATACAAAATCTCATTTTATGATCTTTTCAAAAGGGAAGAATTGTATGCTATCACTAGTTTAAAAAGAAAGTGTGAGAAGATGTGTGGCCATCTTGGGCTCCACCAGTCCTCAGCATACTTTCCATTTTCTTCTAGTTCATCTCTTGTCCTTGGGCAGAAATTTCTTTCCTGTGTCCCAGTAAAATGCATCTTTACCAAAGAAGGCTTCATAATTTGTCTTGGTCACCCCTGCTTGTGTCTCATTACTATAATAGTCAAGACTTTTTAAAAAAAATTCTAATCCAAATAATTTTTTGCTTCGATTGAGATGGTTCTTTCTTATATTCATTTGAAACAAAGGAAAGTTACCTTCTGTTGCCCACGCGGTATTATGTTCTAGACTTAAAACCTTGAATCTTCCCAAGACACATTTTAGGCTAAATAACCACAATTCTCAGAGACTTTTTTTTTTTCCCCACAGAGCTTTTTTATTCTTCTCCACTCTTTAATTTTAAATTGCTACTCCAAAACCTCTCCAAATTCTTGGTCTTACTTTAGCTTCTGCACTGCTACTTCTGTATCATGTAGACATTTGGGGTTGCATGATTTTTTGCCTTGGGGTTTGTTGGGAATTACTTTTTCTAATGAAATTATTCTATTTGCTAATACTTTGTAGTCCCTCTTCTGTTCCTATATACTACTCTTCTGCTTTCACTTATTGCATATCATCTCTCCTCCATGTTTCTTCACTCTTTTGGATGATTGATAGATGCCTGCTTGCTGCCAGTGACCCAGCTCTAGCTGGAGTTGATCACTCACTCCACTTCCCAGTTGCCGTACCCTCTCTTTGGTCTACATTCCTTTTAAAATGCACAATCTTGGGGGGGAAGGTGGTGCTGGGAAATGGTGGGTGAGCAGCATGTCCTGAAGAAAGTGACTGTGTGCTGTTTTGCAGTGCTTCATTTGGTAGAAGTAGTGACCCCACAAGTCCCTACATTTCAGCCAATCGCAATCCATCTGCTACCTCACCCATTACCATTGGTTCATCTACCTCTCGGGGCAGCAAGTGGCAACCTGCCTCTTCTTGCCCTGCACCAATCAGTGCAAACACTACTGCATCCGTACACCATGGCAGGTAAGGCTTCTTGGGGCCATTTGAGTTACAGTCATCAAAACTCATGCCTCTAGATGCACATATGAGATTCGAACCGAAGGGACTTTGGCACTGGGGATGCAAGTTTGAATTCTTGTGAAAATGTCCGTGATTTAACAAGGATGTTTTGTCTGGACTTGTATTAGCCACTCATTAGTTGCTCATTGGGTATATATATATCTTGGTACTTGGTGTTTAGGCATCAACTTAAAATGACTTCTGTTGTGTGATTTCTGTGTAAGGGTCATCCTGTTATGGGAAAACACATATTAAAAATATCCCCATACTTCACTTACATTAATTTTCCAGTAATTGTGAGTAAGAATCTTTTCTACTTACTCTTTTTTTCAGAGGATGAGATACAAACCCAAATCAGAAGAAAAGCTAACTCTTGTTCCAAAAGCTTCCTAAAGCTTTCTTAAAATTCCCAGTCAATGAGAGCATTTTGCTGGAAACACTGTGGGAGGGAAGAGATTTGTGTTTGTCTAAATTTATCTAGATTTGTCGTATTCCTGGGGCGATGGTATCTACTCTGTCTAAGGGGTAGCATGGGGGTAGCATGGGCAAGGCTTCATTGTGAGAGTGCAACAGAACTTCAGCTGTGGTTTTGACTATGGCTTTTGACCCTGTATGTCTGGTCAGAGATCTTTTTTACTTTGGGGTATGGCAAGGGGACCCATTTTTGAGGGCTTGTTTCTAGAACTGACACAAAGAAAATGAAAAACAATGATGATAGTGTTGCTTGTTGCTGCAAGAACACTTGCTTATGGTAGTGCTTAATTGATTTTTGTCCATTTATTAGATTTCTTTCCTTAAAATAACTGGTGAGCATTGGTTGGCTCAGAGGAATAGCCTCGGGTTGGATTAAATTATTAATAATGCTATATAGTTATGTAGAAATTTATTAGACCCTCACAATAATTCATCTGCACAGGCATAGTAAATATTATACCATAGATAAAGAAACTGAAACACAGAGAGGTTACTTGCTTAAGTATTAAGAACTAAGACTAGGGAGAAACAGTAATGGCCGCCATTTGTTGAACCCTGTCATGTGCCAAGCATTGGCTTAGGTAATTACAAAAATTCCATGAGCAATTGGTTTACTCCCATATAGCAGTAAATCTAAATAATTAAGGCTAAAATATGATAAAGGTTTATCTTTTTTTCTCTTACTTAAGAAAGTCCAGCAATAGGCAGGGCTGGCACCATAGCTTTGAAGTCATTAAAGAATCCTGGATCCCAATGTCTTTCTGCTTCACAATCCTTAAATCATGCTTCCATTTCCATGGGTTGCCTCATGGCACAAAACAGCTGTTGAAGCTCTAGGAGTCATGACTGCATTCTAGGCAGGAAGAAGGAAGAAAGGGAGAAATACACAAAGAGGGAAGACCTCTGAACGGAAGTTCCCTCCCAAAGCACCAATTTCTGCTTATGTCTCACTGGCTACCTCTAGCAGCCAGGGAGACTTTGGAAAATGTGATTTTTTAACTAAGTACAATGCTGGCCTCAATAATGTATGGGTTCTGTTAGGAAGAAAAGGAAAATGAATATGGGTCAGGCAACTCGCTATCTCAGGCACACGTACATTGTTTATAAAGAGGCCTCCAGTATATGAAGTACCATTTTAATTTTATAGACATGGAAAGTGAGACCCAAAACTTATTCATCTGCTCAAGGTCACATATCTAGTAAGTAATCGAGGTAGAGTTTGAACCTGGATTTGTCTGTGTCAGAGATCCTGTTTAACTATTTTGTTTCCACTGAGCTTATGTTTTGTTTTTGTCAATACTAAGTATTTGTCAATACTAAGTGTTCTTCATAAATTATTTTATTTAATTATCACAAGACCCCTGGATTTTATGGTATCGTTATTCCCATTTTACAGATGAAAAGACTAGAGAGGTTAACTTGGCTGCAATGTAGCACCAGTGGTTCCAGAGCCTCTGACGCCTGCTTTGGCGCTTTTCCTATTCTGGCAATCTTTTTTTTTTTTTTTAAGATTTTATTTATTTATTAGAGAGAGAGGGTGTGTGTAAACAGGAGGAGCAGCAGGCAGAGAGAGAAGCAGGCTTCCCACTGAGCAAGGAACCCACTATGGGACTCAATCCGAGGTCTCTGGGATTATGACCTGAGCTGAAGGCAGACACTTAACTGGCTGAGCCACCCAGGCGTCCCTTCCTATTCTGCTCCTAACGTTCTATTTGTAAAATCGTACCACACATCAAAATAATAGTTCAAGTCGTATTCTGTAATTCAGTAAAAGAAAATCCTTGGCATTTCTACAGCAGAAAAAACCACAGAGAGAACAAAACATGTTACTAACCTAAAAAGAATGTCAGGTAAGACTTTGATAAGTGTAATTTTTTATAGCTTTGTTTCTGGCTAATTATATTGGTATGTCCTATACAGACTTACACATCTTGTAAGTCTGAGGAATTTAATTTCACCTTTTTTCTGAGTCATTAATTGCTTCTGGGGAAGTGGCTTGTGTTTTTTAGATATCACTTCAAAACTGTTCTATTTTTATATTTGCATCTAGGTACCCTGTTCAGATTTTTACAATCTGATTATTGCTTTCAAGCTTATTCTAATGATGTGATTATTTGAAAATGAGCTTATAGCTACTTATAAGCATTTCTGGTAATTGTGAGTAGGTGAAAAAAAAACACCAGATTTTTAGCATTCTTTATTTTCATTGCTTTTCCCATCTCTGTGAATATCAATTTTGGATCTCTGTTACCCCAGCAACAAGCTGTGACATCACAAATGATAGCTTTTTGGGTGGAGAGCCAATGGTTGCTCTCAACTCTTTGTTAAGAAACAAAGATCTTGTTTTCATGTAAATGAGTTTAATTATACAGCTTGCTGTTGGAAAGTCTGCAGTTAAGGTTACATATAGAATCTTAATAGTTTTTGTTTCTGTGGCTCATGTATACACTTAAGGATACAGGCAGTCAGGCCATTTGGTTAAATAGAGAGCAGTTGCTGAGCTAGGTGAGAAAGAACTAGACAAACTGAGGTTGTATTTATCACATATATCTGGAATCCAAGAAGATGGTCATCTAATCTAGGCTGAGGACTACCACAGACTCCTACTGCCAAGAATTAAGGGGCAGGTGGAGATTAATATCGTAAGTGACTTTAGTGTTGTTTTCATGTGTGTGGAGAGGCCCTGCCTCTGTGTGTGCGTGTGTGTGGAGACCAGATGGTACTCAGGAATCATTTAAAGCACTCTTGCATATGTTACTATCTTCCTCGTGCCATAGCTAATTTTTTAAAAAAATTTTAATCTTAAAAAAAAAAATCATGAAATAGAACTCTTTGGGCAGAGGATATCATTAAATGTATAATCATACTGTTCTAAGATTTAAGAGCTCAGAATTTAAAAAACCAGTCAACCAGCAAATAAAATCTGAGCCAGAAGATTCTCTAGTTAAACTTATCTCAAACCCTCTGTCTGTGTGCTAGTGCTTTGTTATGTAGCATGCCTGACCATTCTCTTTCTGCTTGTGTTTTTGTGTTTTTGGTTTCAGGACTCCTTACAAATCCCAGGCTGACTCAACAACAGAAAAAACAGTAGACAATGTCTCTTCTAGCACCCCGCTCTGTGTGATCACTAATCGCCCTCCACCTAGCACTGCCAATGGGGTTACAACTGCCACTCAGCTCTCCGCTCCTGGAACAGACTCCTCTGTGGAAGCCCGGGACAGGAGGAGGTATGTTCTGTACTGACTGCATTTGCGGGATTCTGCTTTGAGGTAGGATAAAGGAGTGGGTGTGAAGTCTTTCCCCCAATCCCAAATATATTTGTGAAAGTAGATCTTTATATTACAGTTTGGGTTTTCTATTTTGCCTTTGGGAGACTTTTGATGGAGCTCTTAATTATTTCTGATTAACATGGATACTTATTCTGTTATGAATATAGGCATATCTCTTTTCCACTTGTCTTATAAAAGAAATCAGGGTCAGGCATGTTTTCCCCATTTTGTGATGGGGAACCTGAAGCACGGAGAAGGATCTTTTCTTTTGTTCTGAGGAGTCGATGAAGACTTTTCCGGCAGCAAAGAAAAGCAGTATCATGAAAAAGACTCAGAGAAATAAAGCTAGGATATCATTTTAATTTGTTAAAAAATACCAGAAAAAGAACTCAATAGTATATGATAATATGGTGGAAGGATAGGGACTGGTTACTGTACAATTTCTTCCAAGAAAAATTATGAGAGAGCAGTCATGATTGGCACAGGAGAGGTGTAAGGTAGACGCTAAGAAGAACTTTTTGATAGCATTAGGAGATCTTGGAAAATGTGACCAAGAAAAATGGGACATTTTCATCCACTTGAAAAAGTGGAAAAAATAGAATGCCCTCCATTTGGCTGTTTCAGATCTACTTAAAAACTGAAGCCATACTTATCCCTTTTTTAAGACTGGAAAAAGAAGTGAAATCTTATCAAAATTTAAATTTCCGTCTGGCTTCATTTTCTTTTGAATATCCAAAGGAAGAAGATTTTATGTTTGTGAGTGTGTGTATATGTGTAATAAATCAAGAAGTCTTATCATCTATAAGAATAATGAGTTAAACTTTTTAGATGTTTATTGTAAAGACAGTTCGAAGAATAAAATTCTGAGAAGTTGAAGAGAGATGTTAAGTGATTGAAGAATAGTGTTTTTCTTCTTCCTTTCTTTTCCTTTCTTTTAATTCCTTCCTTTTTTCATTTCTTTATATAAAAATAGAAGGAAGTCAGTTTTCTGGTCTAACACATTACAGAGCGTCATCTTTTCATTGGTTTCCAGCTAAGGAAATTTTAATAAATCAATCTTGAATATTTAATGTTTATATATTTAATAGCTCAGATGGAATTAAGGTATTATTAGTTTCATCTAGGAACTAAATGTAAAATTAATTTTTTTCTGAATATTAGGTTAAAAAAAACTCCCTTTAAAAAATCCTTCTGGGCTGAGGCAAGTAAAATGAGTTAAATTCATCATTAAGATCATGATCCCTGAAAGGATGGCTAAATCAGGCTTTTTATCAAACTGCATTATTAAATACTCATTGCATGCACCATTATTTAGAGAAACCTAGAGAGATAGTTACTGTCTTCTGGGATTTTTACAACCTACAAACAAAATGTAGCGCCTGCTACAGATTTTAATTTTGTTTTAGAAGTTTTACTTAAGTTACAAATATTTATTGGTTACATACCGTGTACCATATATTGTCACTAGGACATAATTCCTCAAGAAGCAGCAAATATAAGAATAGAAGAATTATATCAAAACATCACTGAATTACATGAATGTGGTGTATCAAGGTAAGTGCATTTTTAGAATGGTGCAAGATAATAGGGAGATACTAGATATTTATTAGATGACAAATAATCTTTATTAGACAAATAAGGTAATGGCACAAGATAAATAAGAAGATATTACATAAAGAGCTGTTGGACTCAGTCAGCAGCAATCATTCTGTTCAAAATATTTATTGAGCATCGGCCATTGCAAAGTACTATGGTGAACCTCAGTAATACAGCAGGGAATGAGAAAAACAGTCTCAGCTCTTGGCAAACATATATGGTAAGTGAAGAAAAACAAACACTAAGTAATGTGATATATACTGTGAAGAAGTAGTATGAGTTGTTATGACAAAAGATCTGCCTACAGAAGACTTCCTTTCTCCTGCGGGATCGGAGAAGGTTATCTTAAGAGGATGATACTCAAAGTGTAAAGGGCAAATAACAGCTGGGAGAAGGGGATAAACATTCCTGCCAGAAAATGTGACTGCTGAAAAGCCACTAAGGTGGGAAGGTGCTTGATCCTTTGGAGAATTTGGGGGGAAAAAAAAAAAGATTTATTTTTTTGACAGAGAGAGACACAACGATCTAGGGAACACAAGCAGGGAGAGCAGGAGAGGGAGAAGCAGGCTTCCCGCTGAGCAGGGAGCCCAGTGCAGGGCTCCATCCCAGGACCCTGGGATCAGGACCTGAGCCAAAGGCAGACGCTTAACAACTGAGCCACCCAGGCCCCTCCTTTGGAGAATTTGAGAGAAGATGTTGTGGCTTTGGGGTAGAAAGTTAGGGAAAGAGCAGTCTAAGGCAAGACTTGAGGAATAAATAGGAGCTATATAATGCAAAGTCTTAGAGCCAAGGACAAAGATTGTGGATATATATGTTAAGAACCATGATGAGCTACTGGGAGCATTTTTTTAACAGCTTATAAAGATGTAATTTATATACCGTATAATTTAAGGTGTATAGTTCAGTCATTTGGGGTATATTCACAGATATGTGCAGTGATTACCACAGTCAATTTTAGGACATTGTCATCATCTTAAAAAGAAATCCCATACCTTTCGTTGTTGGCCCTCTTGCTCCCACCCCCATCTCCCCATTCCCTAGACCTCAGCAACCACTGATCTACTTTCTGTTTCTATGGAATTGCCTATTCTGGACATTTCATATAAATGGAATCAATATGTGGTCTTTGTGACTGACTTCTTTCACTTCGAATAATGTTTTCAAGATTCATCCATGTACTAGCATGTATCGGCACTTTATTATTTTTTATGGCCAAACACTATTGCATTGTGGGGATATACTGCATTTTCTTTGCAATTCATAAGTTGGTGGACATTTGGGTTTTTTCTACCTTTTGGCTATTTTCAATTATGTTACTGTGAACATTCGTGTACGAGTTTTTGTGTGGACCTATGTTTTTATTTCTCTTGGATATATCTGTAGGTGCAGAATTGCTGAGTCTTATAGAAAATATCCAAAAAGCAAAAAGATAACATGACCTGACTTACTTTTTTTTTAAATTCTGGATTTTAAACTCTGGTTACAGTAGTCCATATGAATTGGACATGGGAAGGATGGAAAGGAATAGATGTGGGAGGACAGGTAAGGACACCATTGCAAGAAGAAAGGTGCATGAGAGAGAGCAGTGGCTTGCCCAAAGGTAGTAGCAAAAGAGATTGAAAAAAATGAATGGATTCGAAACTTATTTAGGAAAACATTTAGCAACATGGTAGATGAATTTATAAGGACCCCTTTCCCATTATAAACGTAGGAAAATAGAGTTGAGTGTAGAAAAGTGAAAGGAAACTGTGAAGTGACAAAAATGAGAATCCAAAAGCCAGAATGGTTTGAGTGGCCCAGGGTTGGTATAAGACCTCTAGAACAGACATCAGTGTCTGGAGGCTCAGATTTTAATGCCCATGCATGGGTGTACGAAGTATGGCTTTTGACCTGACTAGGTCAGGAGCTGTAGTAAGAACCCATATAAAGCTGGAGTTCTCGAAAGGCTGCCCAGTTCATGAAAAGGATGCTTTTCCTGTGGCCTAAAGAAGTGTCAAGGATGGCACCTATTCAAGGGTCTGAGCAGGGACAGAAAAGTCTATTGTGGGAAATTTTTTACAACCCATATATATGTGTGGAAATCCCAAGCCAAGAATTTTATTTATTTGTTTGTTTGTTTATGTATTTATTTATTTAAGAGAGAGAGCGCAAGCATGTGCAGTGGGGAGGGATAGAAGGAGGGAGAGAGAATCTCAGGCTGACTCCATGCTGAGTGGGGAGCCCGATGTGGGACTTGATCTCAGGACCCTGAGATCATGACCTGAGCTGAGACCAAGGGTTGGATGCTTAACCCAGTGCACCACCCAGGCATCCCCAACCTAAGCCGAGAATTTAACATAGAAACTAGGTCTGCATTCTTGAAACCTGAGGCCATAGACACAAGCAATTTGAAACGACTGTGAAGAAACACATCGACAACCCAGGGTACCAAGGATTTCTATAAAACAGTTGCCTGTCAAAGACAAACTCACATAGGAAATGAACCACTCTGAGGAAAAGTTAACAGATGCGGCTTCTTAGATACTTAGCTACTTTTAGAAGAAGTACATGCAGATCACTATGTAGTAGAATTTTTGGATACAAACCAGAAACCTCAAACTATTATTTAATTTGGTAACAATAACTAGACGTAAACCAGTTGTATTGAGGATAGACACATCTGTAAAAATGGCAAATTAATCAGAAGCGGTGCCTAGAATAAAATATTTTGAAAACGTGTTGTTCCTATATAGAGTCCTATTTAAATGGGAATCCACATATGTAAAGCCGTCTATCAACCCTTTATTGACAGACTGCCATGTGCCAGGCACAGTTATTAGAGATACAAGGTCAAAGAAAACGTCTTTCCTGCCCTTGAGAGTTTAAATTTATCTATTGTGGGAAGGTAAACAAGTAAATCAAATAATATAGTCAGTTGTTAAGTGCTCTGATAAGTATGTGTATAGATTGCTATGGGAGCACAGAGCAGGGAAGACTAAATCAGACTGAGTAGGGTGACAGAGAAGGTATGCCAGAGGAGGTGAGTGGAGCTGAATTTTGAAGGCAGCTGGAAGTGAACTCTGAGTAGTAATAGGATGCTGGTATTTTAGAGGGCACACAAGAAATTCAAAAAACAAGTTTAATAAGCCTGAAGCAGGGAGCAGGCAAGGCCCAGTGTTGTATTTCTGAAAGTGTCTTTGTGAAGTAGATTTAGATGAATCAAAATTTAAAAAAAAAAAAAATCTGTGGGCAAATGAGTTTGTGAAAGAACGGTTAAACATAGTTAAACAGAATTACCCCAAAGCCGCCTCAGAATCCTTCCTCTCAGGGGGTGGGGGTAAGTGGGGGGAGTTGGGTGAGGAAAGGGGAGTGTGGGGGTGGTT